AGCTTTTTAGGGGAATTCAAATACTGTTTTCCCTCACTGTATGTGAACGTCAAAGCCAATGTCTTAATGGAATCTGACAATTAGCTAATTTTGCTCCTATAAGTCAATGTTTGCACACACACCTCTGGACCTTTTACATTCCATAGCACGTAGAAACAGGACCCTTTAAAATAATACTGTCAATCATTATTACCAGAATGCTTATAGGAGTGGTAATACAGATGACCACTAGAAGTCCTCAGAGATCTCCTTTCTTAAAGCTGGCTGTATTCACCGACATCTACTCACTATGTTGGAGTGACTGACCATTGTGCACATTTGACATCAATTATACTTGGATGCAATGTAAACAAACAAAAAGACTGTGATAAAGAGCTCTTTAGCATTAATGAAATTGATTTGATACTCTGAGATGCACTGACTTTGGATACACAATTCCTGTTGCTTAACCTTTGGTGTAGCAGCACACACAAACACAACATATTATACATTAGCTTTTGCTAATCAGAATTGAGTATTCAGCCAAGCCGTGGTATAAAGCTTGTATATTTGTATAATGGTACTACATGTGTATTACATACTAACTCAAGTTAGCTCAAGACTTTGGGAAGTAAACCCTTCTGAACATTGGGAGATTGAACCTGCAACCTTTTCGGACTGTCCCCTTGACCATTACTTCCCTGTCACAACCCCTAGACTTGTTCCTGACATGGGGGAGGGTGAAGAGGCTTGTCACCCAGCCTTTATCATCTGCTTGTGTTCTGAGATGAAGCACAGACCCTTGCATCCTCCCAGCAAAGGGTGCAATCTATTCCTAGCCTAGGAATTCCAACACAGGGATATTTCTCCCATGCTCTCATTCATAGACTCCTGTTTGAACTGTATGATAGTGTATATGACCAGTTGTTTTTCCATACTCTGTGCTCTCTGTATAATGCATCTTGGCCTGTTTGTATGTTGGCATGACTCAGTTACATATCTGCACGTGATGAACTCGAAAGCATTTCTATTACTCACACGTCATGTGGTTTTAGTCGACTCATCCTCACATTGTTCCAGCACATCACAGACTGGCTTTAGCAAATCCTCTGGGAATCACAGCCATGTACGCAGAACCCCAGTGGCCGAGCCAGATAATATATAGACATTTGGGCAGCTGTGGAGACTTTACTGGGCCCACTGGCAGCATACAAGGCCACCCAGTCCCCCACCATCCACCCACCCCCCAGCCCAGTTATGTGGCAGCCGAAGCCTCTAGGTGTAAATAATTCTGGGTGCTGACACAGCTCTATGATGGGAGCAAAGGGCACAGTCTGCAGTGAAAAGTGACGCAAAGTGGGGTATCCAGCGAGGGCGCCATCAAGAGGCACAGACAATATTATTAGTCGTATTTGCCCTACAGCACCTCTTGGATAAAGCAATGAAGAAATACAACTGAAAAGGAGACATAAAGGACAGGGATATAGTTAGAATAATAAATGGAATAATGCAAAATCATAGACAGATTGAGGATTGATTTAAGTGAACCCTCCTGCATTTATTACTGACTGAGAAATAAAACGAGGTTGAAAATAAATACATATACTCTATTTATTTTAGGAAGTATAAGGTCGCTTACGGTAATAGCTGGGACACTTGAGACAACTGGGCAGACACAAGGCCAAGGTAAAACACAAAAAGGAAAATCCTAAAATGATCAGGATGTAGGGTTAAGGATCAGGGTCAGACATGCCTTATTATCCACAGTTAACACTCCATAATATTTTATTCCAGTCAGTCAGTCTGTCAGTCTGTCATGTCCTCGCTATGCCACCGAGCCGAGGCTTCGGACGGTAGGCCTTTACTAATAAGATGCTAAGCTCCAGTGTCTCAGGCAACAGTATATGATTAAACCAGAACATGAATTATTTAGAGAGGGTAAAGGTCACACATATATGTGTATTACTTCCTTGGGCAATTAGGTTCTGATGTAAAATTGACTGCCAATTGGAAGGCTTGTTTTACATGAAAAAGTATTGTTACGTTACAAACATAAAGAAAGGTATTTTGCTGTTTACAGTGCTGCCTGGTCAGAAAATAAATGTTAAATTAACCAGATGGATGATGGAAAGCTGTGCACACGGCCATGGAAGGTTCCTGGAAGTCCTGGTTCACCAGGGGAAAAGCACTCACATTCCTGCCAACAGATAAAAGGAATACTCTAGCCTCTAGAAAGAGACCTCGCTGGACTCAGTTTCTAAATTTAACCCCCCACCTCCCATTCCCACCCTCCCTTGCTTCACCTGTCATGAAGCTGAGGTGTTGGGCGAAGGGACCTTGAAATATGGCCTGTAGGAGGTCAGAGGAGTCTGGGGTTGTGTGAGTGTGGGGTGGAGGAGTAGGGAGGGATGGTGCACGTCTATTATCTCATTGCCGGACAGAGAGGGGATTGGGTCTAGACATCGTGACAAAAGTGGGTGGGTTGGTACTGTTGTGAAGGGGGGTTGCTCAGGAGCCCCACTATTAAACGCAAGGGGTGAGCTAGGAAGGAGTTAGTTAGTTATTGTTGGTTACTCTCTGGAAGAAACGTCCAATCAGAATGCCAGAGCCAGTCAAAAAAACAGGTAAGTGCGCTTGATTAGATTCCATCTCGTTTTACTGCAGCATCATTGTATCACCAGCTGCTATCTAAAGACATCACTGGATTTTCTACCTCCTCTCCCGTTTCCCTCTGTAATAACAAATCCCTCCCAACCTGTGGAACTGGTGGGACTTTTGATCAGTGATCAGCTCATGTCATAGTTTCTTGTCTTCACAGTTGCATTTCAGAGAGGTTACGTTTGAAAGTTGTTGCTGTTACAAGGGGGAACTTTGCCAATACCTGCCTCTTCAGCTTCATATTAACTATGCATGTCTTCTGTGTTGTATTTTTCTCTATTTGATCATCTGTGTGAGAAAAATAACGCTGTCTCCATACTGTGTTTCTTTGACCACACCCTCCTCCATCTTCCAGTCCTTCAGAAAATGGTCCATGTTCAAGTGCTAAGCAATGCATGTGTTTCAATGGTTTAAAATACACAGTTTTTAACCTACCCAGTTTTGGTTACAAAATACATTAGCGTAAAAGTACAGACCACTTTTATACTCACCCCCATGAAGTCATGATGACAGTTGTCCAACCATCATCTCACATTGCAGTGTTTATGCAGTAGCCTATAAACAAGCCTTTTCCCCCCCTGTGGTCTACTCTTTTTAGGTACTAAGAAGAGTAGATAGAATTCTCTCACATAATTCTAATATTCTGAATAATGCACATATGTGCTGTGGCAGGAGTTGTGTAAACAGAGCTACTGCATAAACATGGCTAGGTTATATTGACTACAGCCCACTGTCATTTTCTTCTGGATCATTATGGAGCCAATTGTTACCAAATGAGTCTGCATGGACGTTGTATATTTACAATGCCCTACTTATTTATTTGGACAGTGAAGCTAAAACTTATAATTTGGCTCTATACTCCAGCATTTTGGATTTGAGATCAAATGTTTTATATGAGGCGACAGTACAGAATGTCACCTTTTATTTTAGGGTATTTTCATACTGTATGATATATATATATATATATATATATATATATATATATATATATATATATATATATATACAGTGGCTTGCGAAAGTATTCACCCCCCTTGGCATTTTTGCTATTTTGTTGCCTTACAACCTGGAATTGAAATGGATTTTCTGGGGGTTTGTATAATTTTATTTACACAACATACCTACCACTTTGAAGATGAAAAACATTTTTAATTGTGAAACAAACAAGAAATAAGACAAAAAAACAGAAAACTTGAGCGTCCATAACTATTCACCCCCCCAAAGTCAATACTTTGTAGAGACACCTTTTGCAGCACTTACAGCTGCAAGTATCTTGGGGTATGTCTCTATAAGCTTGGCACATCTAGCCACTGGGATTTTTGCTCATTCATCAAGGCAAAACTGCTCAAGCTCCTTCAAGTTGGATGGGTTCCACTTATGTACAGCAATCTTTAAGTCATATCACAGATTCTCAATTGGATTGAGGTCTGGGCTTTGACTAGGCCATTCCAAGACATTTAAATGTTTCCCCTTAAACCACTTGAGTGTTGCTTTAGCAGTATGCTTAGGGTCATTGTCCTGCTGGAAGGTGAACCTCCGTCCCAGTCTCAAATCTCTGGAAGACTGAAACAGGTTTCCCTCAAGAATTTCCCTGTATTTGGCGGCATCCATCATTCCTTCAATTCTGACCAGTTTCCCAGTCCCTGCCGATGAAAAACATCCCCACAGCATGATGCTGCCACCACCATGCTTCACTGTGGGGATGGTGTTCTTGGGGTGATGAGAGGTGTTGGGTTAAAATAAAAGTTGACATTCTGTACAGTCGCCTCATAGAAAACATTTGATCTCAAAGTTTTAGCTTCACTGTCCAAATAAATACGTAGGGGAGTGTATGTAGCGTAAGTTCTAAATTCAGAGTGCATCATTTCATGCACCACTGCATTCATGTGTAAACATCACTCATCATGTGCCGATGATCCAGTAATGCCTCACAGGATTCCACTTTTTTGGGTCAGACGGAAAGCATTGCCATTCACTGTGGAAAGAGCAACTCAACAGATCAGATGACAATACAGCCTCCTCACAGTATTAGTTACTCAGATACAGTATGTCTGCTAAGACATCTAGCATTCAAGATCTCCCAAAGTATAACAGTCATGGGCTGTTTGAGTAATTTAGCATTAACATCAAGACCCTGCTATCAACAGATAATTATTCTGTAGATCAGGTTTTTGTTGAAGTGTCTTTTAAACGTATAATTAGTCTCTCTACCGATACAAAGATGCTTTGCACTGCATCTGCAAAGGGGTTTTGAATTCCCCAACAGATGAAGAAATAATTTGTGGTAAAATATTTGGACTGAAATAAAACAAGAAACTAGAAGATACAGTTGAACTATATAAGTTAATTGGGTAAACACTTCCTGGTCCTAGTGCTAGCTAGCTAGCTGCTTTGCTTGCTAGTTATTTTTCCTCTTCTTTTTACAATAACTATTGTTATTTCAAATTATGTTTCAACCCTCATATTATTTATTTTTTCTGATTTACTTTACTTTATATGAAGGAATTGGAGTGAAATGTAATATGCATAGGCCCAATAAATACACTGTTGAGGTTAAGGAGGAGATACCAGTCATCACTAGCCTGAAAAAAGGAGGCACACTTGGAAGCCCAGCACAGGCGTAACATTCTTTCTATACTCGCTGCGCAACTAAAATAGAGTCTCACTAATCCCTCTACTGTGCTACCTGTGCCCCCGTCACTGGGGTTGCCTGCTGAGTGCATTTATTAGTGGGGCACATATGCATTCTATATTTAAACCCATAGGGTAATCTTGCTCCATATGGAGGTCATTTGTGATGTAATGAGCTGATTGGAAACCTTTCCCTGGTTAGAGGGTAATAAAACACCTGATACGACTCACAGAGAGGAGAAATGTTCTAGACAATAAAAACCTCTCATTAACAACACATTGGATAGCTCTGATATTAACCCACTACAATGCAGATGATTGCAATGATAATATTGGCCTTTTCAGCATTCATCAATTTCAATTGATTCATTCAACTGAATTCAAGACAGTGGTACAATGAAGGTTATATATTACCTTATTTGTAATTTAATCTGAGAGCTTCCATTTTGATAATGGAATATTATGGTGTATCATCATAGCGCACTTCAAAGGTTTTACATCACAATGTACTGCAAAAATCCATGACAAACTGGGCATCTTAAAGGGAATTATTTCATTCTGACCCATCCCTCCCTCTCCAGTCTCAGCATTTGCCAAGAAACCAAAGACTCAGGTGGCAGAGGAGGGGGAAACAGTGGTTTTTGAGACAGAGACAGAGAAGCCTGATGCGAAGGTGAGATGGCAGTGCAACACAAAGGACCTTGTCTCTGGCGACAAGTATGTGATCAAGTCAGATGGAAACAATCACTCACTTACCGTCCAAGCAGTCACCAAGGAGGACGGCACTGCCTATGCTGTGATTGCCGGAGGGTCAAAAGTCAAGTTTGACCTAAAGGTGAAAGAGAAAGAAGTCAAGGAGGAAGTCAAATTGGAAGTGAAGGAGGAAGTGAAGGAGGAGAAAGGTGGGAGTCTATGAGGATGCAGACCTGTTTCCAGAGCCATACTCACCTATGAGCACAGTGTGAGGAGCACCGAGCACAGAGGCCACTGAGCACTGTTTGTTGCACTGCTAGTTGTTATCACCTTGAATCACAGTCTATTTCAGACAATCACTCAGTATGTTTCATTTCATCAAGCACAGAACACAGTGTGTACTGTAACATTCCCTGCATAGTTGATCACACAGCAACATGTGCACTTTTAGCCTGTCAGTAGGTACTGTGTGTGGTTTGATAAGATGGAAACGTCTTGGGTTAGAGAGAGAGTGGCTGTGGAGAGCTCAGACTTGGAGCAGCTCCTGCCTGTCCAGTGCTGCCATGATTCACATCAAACCCTCCCTGATGACCTTCACCCTGGCCTGACACAAACAGATTGTTTCCTCATGAGTCACCACAGCAGCAAGTGCTCAGGATAGATAGCCACAAGAGGCATCTGACAGGAGATAACACAGTGCACATGGAAACTTGATCTGTTCAAAGTTGATAAATTGAAATATTTGCAAGATAAGCGTAGAAAAATGTGTAAAATAGGGACCTTGTAGCAGTCGTAATGGCAGAAATGTTGCAAGAGGCAGGCAGGTTCAGGTGCAGAAGTTGTGCTTTTATTTATGTCAATGGTGATCCAGACTTTCAATTGACAATTTAGACAAAGTAATAAAACATAGTGAATATAATATAATGAAAAACAAAATGCCTAGGGGCAGGCAAACCTGTCTACTGCAGACTCAAGTTGGGGTATAACAGGCTCACATCAGCCTCCTCACAATTATGCAAACTGCCCAAAAAACTAAATAAATAATAAACAAACAGGCGATTATGATTCTCTTAGCTCCCCCCTGGGACATACCTCTGTCAAGATGACAGTTAACCCATAACTGGTAATGTAAAATGCATATTAATTCCAAAATCCGTCATTAGCCTACAATGTAGAGTAATAGTCTAAAGCAGACATAATAATCATCAGAACTTATTTAATTCACAATTCACAGTCGAGTCATTCATAATATTGGCGTCCTCGCGGGAAGGCCACCTACAACTATTAGAATGCACCTGCGCACGAATACATTACAGGTAGGCCAACTCAGAGCCATCTATATACTGTATGTGTCTGCGCCTACCCAAAGATTGTCTATTATATTGACAAGATAGTCGATTGACCACCCCAACAATGTAAATACATGTCCTTTAAAGATGGAAGGCAGGCGGGGAGAGGTGAGATCAGATAGGACCATTCTAGCCAACGAGAGGGAAGATACTCGAGTGAACAACAAGCCATAGAGATAGATATCTGACCCCCCCCCCCCCCCCCCCCCCCCCCCCCGATCATTTCATTGGTTCCTGCATGAACGCCGCCCCCTCAAGCATGTCATCTCCCTGCTTGTGTGACACTTTTGATATTCACAACCTGATTGTCTATGCAATTAAAATGTGGGTCAAAAGGGAAATAAAAGTATTATCTGACTTTTTCGAGGGTCCACCAGCCAACTTGACACAACTGTGGGAGGCATTGGAGTCAACATGGGCCAGCATCCCTGTGGAACACTTTCAACACCTTGTAGAGTCTATGCCCCGACGAATTGAGGCTGTTCTGAAGGCAAAAGGGAGGGATGTTTCTACTAACTAGAGAAACATTCAGTTCTATGAGTCTCTTATTGTAAACTCTTTGTTACCAGAGGAAGCCCAGGGTGGAGCAGGGGACCCAGCAGCTCCACATCCAGCTGCTACAGACACTGTAGCTCCAGCAGATGCCCCAGCCCTAGCAGAGACCCCTGCAGCAGCGGACACTACACCAGCAGCACCTCAGCCAGGTGCCAATATACAGGCACATGACACTCCAGGATCTGATGGTTAGACCAATGTTTACAGATTCCTTCCACCGATCCTTTGAGCTACTGGATACACGCTTGTGGTGGTGTTGTAGGGTCACAATGCATGACAATGGATACATTGTAATATACTTCACTGAAATCTTGAAAGAAAATAAAGAACTTGTGCACTGCGCTTGCCAGTATCACAATTTAGCTTTTGTATCAGCCTTACGGCCTTCCACAGAGCTTCTGGGAATAATAAAACATACAAAAAACTAATGATATAACAATACTCTGTAGTTTGCTCCCAGCTTCTCCCTAGCTCTGTCCTGTTTAACATTTTCCTGTTCCCTTGCCAGAAAGTCAAGCCCCTGACACGAAGACAGACCTCACAGGCCTGTTTACAGAGAAACCCCAGAGTGGGGAGGTCGCTGTGGGTGAGTGACACCATTACATTTTAGTCATTTAGCAGACACTTTCCTCCAGAGTGACTTAGTTAGACACCAGACATGTTAACAATAGGGAACAGCACCCCAGAGATCATAGCCATTCATGTAAGCCATTCATAAAGATGCTATGGGCATGTCAAGGCATGTTTCTCTACTATTTTGTCCAGGTGAGAACATCAATTTTGTGGCTAAAGTGAATGCTGCTTCACTGCTGAAGAAGCCCACCATCAAGTGGTTTAAGGGGAAGTGGATGGACCTGGCTAGCAAGTCTGGAAAGAACCTGCAGCTCAAGGAACTTTATGATCGTAACTCTAAGGTTAGACTTTTGTCCCATCCATAGGCATGTTACATACTGTTGTCGCCAATGTACAACACTGAACATCATGATACAAAAACAGGTTGGACACTGCCATGAGCTGTTAAAAGTTGTTCAGGAAAGTCCTAGAGATCACCTTGCAAAAGACTTCAGAGGTTTTATGGTTTTGGCTGACATTATTATGACCAGGAATTTCTGGCCTTTGTTTTCAGGTCTACACCTTTGAGATGCAGATCATTGCAGCCAAGCCCAGCTTCGCTGGAGCTTACAGGTGTGAGGTGTCATCCCGAGACAAGTTTGACAGCTGCAACTTTGACCTAACTGTGCATGGTGGGTGCCCTCACACACAGTAAAATCAATAGGGGCAGCTTAACAGAAACTACATTTTTTCTCATTTTCTCCTTAGTGCCTTTCCTTACTAAAGCATAGAGTAAATATCAGTTATTTTTATAGTACCTATGGTATAAAAATCAATGATAGAGAAGAGATTACTGATTATTCTATCATGTTTCAGAGGCCCGGGCTGTGGAAGGGTTTGACATCAGGGCAGCTTTCAGGCGCACGTAAGCTCAAACATGTATTTATTTCTGTGTGTGTGTGTGTGTGTGTGTGTGTGTGTGTGTGTGTGTGTGTGTGTGTGTGTGTGTGTGTGTGTCACAGGAGGTTGGTGGTACCTTATTTGGGGAGGACGGGCTCAAGGTAATGGCTGGAGCGGAATCAATGGAACGGTATCAAAAACATCAAACACATGGTTTGATGCCATTCCATTCGCTCCGTTACAGCCATTATTATGAGCCATCCTCCCCTCAGAAGCCTCCACTGGTGTGTGTGTGTGTGTGTTTGTGTGTGTGCGTGTGCGAAAGTGAGAAGGATTGAAGGGAAAGTATATCACATTGTTATTTAGCAAGCTGTATCAACAAAACAACACACATCTACTTTGTACTATGGACATAACAAAAGCATTTTCTCACAGCCCCAAACTAGCAGTGGTGTGCATATTGTTGGATGGTTATTTAAATCCTTCTCTTTTTTTGTATACAGTATGTGCCACTACACAATAAGTAAATGGGGTGTGATAGTATCTGTACAGTCCTTTGGATATGTGAGAGAAATAACTTTCTGGCAATGCCAACTTGTCAGGAGTGGAGCTGCTAAGAAGAGAAGTGTACCATCAGGAAGGTAGTGGGGGGAGGGGGTTTGCTGCAACATTGGGGGTTCATATCCAAACACTTGGGCCTCTGATTACCAAAAAGACTTCAGGGAAAGGTTTTCAGTCCCTCTTTTTCTTCGCTTTCCTTTTAGGTCAAACAGAACCAGTTTCTGGGAATATGTAACTTCCTCTCTGGGTTTTGAGAAGACAGCCATGGTGTGAAAGAGAGAGGGTTTGACCTAACTAATCTTTTAAAGAGACTACCTCAGATGTTAAATCCACTGGGTCATCCTTTAGCTTGACAGCTTGAACACTGTCATTGTGTCAACTTTGACAGAACCAGCTTCTGGTCTGGAGGTGAGAGAGTACAATAGGCTCGGTTAACAAGCAGCTTAACAGCACACCAACTTTATATGTCACTCAAACTCTCTCTCTGATCTACCATGGGGTCTTTATCAAAACAGCGGAACCAGTTGCACAAACAGTGAGCCGACGGAGTGAGTTTTGGTCTTGCCCCTGGTTTCATGGTATTGAAAGTGTCAGGATGAGTTAAGACACACAGGCTTTTCTGTGGCACTGGTTCTCCAGGGCTGTCGGATGAGAGATATCACTGGAGGAAGTCACTGCCGTGTGTTGTAATTCTACCACATGAACCACCAGGCCCTCGTTTAATCCTGATCGCTTCAGAGATCAGAGGGAGGAGATAAACACTTCCAGCCGCATATAAAACTGCTGTCCTCTCCCTGAGATCCCTCATCCCATTTGATCAGTGTGGTATACAGATTCCATGGGGATTTTGACCAGGTGCTGCCATTCAACTTGAGTGCTTAGTTTTTTGTTTGGAAGATTGTTGCTTCTCATGGTTACGCTAGTACAGGGAAAGCATCTATCTCTCCAACCAACCAACTGTCCATCCATCCTGTCTTCCATCTTTTCATTCATGCAACCACCCGTCATTCATCCACCCCTCATCCATCCATCCATTAATCATCATCTATCTTTCTGCCAGAAAAGACAGTCTGTCTATTATATTTACAGTGCATCACAAAGTTCTCTTTGTTTCTTTCCCCTTTAAATATCTACCAGCTCCCTGCGTTCCACCTTGAAAAAATGTCAAGACCCTGTCTGCTACTGTCTATAATTGTCCCCCATGATGAAATCCGTCCGTTCCTCTGTACGTTAGTCACACGCAATATCTCAGACAGCACTGGCCTGATTTTGAAAAAACTTGGGTGAATGATGAGTCTTGCCACAGAGATCCGGCATTTACAAAATGACACTGATTGGTCCAAGGCAGGAGCCATAGTAATTAACTGACAATTGCTGCATCATTTGTGGGGGACATTTACATTTTAGTCATTTAGCAGACCCTCTTATCCAGAGCGACTTACAGTTAGCGAGTGCATACATTATTTTTATTTATTTTTCATACTGGCCCCCCGTGCGAATCGAACCCACAACCCTGGCGTTGCAAACACCATGCTCTACCAACTGAGCTACATCCCTGCCGGCCATTCCCTCCCCTACCCTGGACGATGCTGGGCCAATTGTGCGCCGCCACATGGGTCTCCCGGTCGCGGCCGGCTACGACAGAGCCTGGACCACATGTTTACTGTTGTTTTCAAGGGTGCAGCTCATCTCTTATGGTGATGATGATAACCACACTGTAAGAATACATTTCTTTGATAAAGTACTGACATTGTGTTATTGGTGCTGATATTTTTTACAGTAGTGTGGATGGAAGTGAGGAAGCAGGAGAGTTGGACTTCAGTGCCTTGTTGAAGAAAAGGTGAGTGTGAATTATCTCAGATTATTTCAGACCAAAAAGTTGAGTAACATTAATATAATTATTTTCAAAATCAGAAAGCTTGTTTCTCTTGGGCATATTATCTCACTATGTTCATCTCGCTTTGTCCCCCCCCCCCCCTCCCTCCATTTCACTATACAGAGAGTAAGTGACTACTACTACTTTACCTAACAGATTGGATTAATGGACATATTTTCCAGCTACTTTATCACTAACCTGATTTCAGGTCAGTCTTGCTGTCTACTAACAATGCATCTTGAGTCCTCCTGCTAATCTCGCACTGGTCCCAGACTACTTCTGCCTAGCCCCTCACACCCCTCATGCCCTATAGAAGGCTCTGTCACTTCTACCACACAAGCTAGAACACATAGAGCAGTACACTCTTAAAAAAGGTTCCAAAAGGGTTCTACGGCTGTCCCCAAAGGAGAACCCTTTTTGGCTCCAGGTAGAACCCTTTTTGGTTCCAGGTAAAACCCTTTTGGGTTCCATGTAGAACCCTCTGTGGAAAGGGTTATACATGGAACCCAAAAGGGTTCTACCTGGAACCAAATAGGGTTCTTCAAAGGGTTATCTTATGGGGACAGCCGAATAACCCTTTTAGGTTCTACATAGCACCTTTCTTTCTAAGAGTGCAGAAGACTTAGCACACATCTGAATGTACTAGAAGCTTTCACAACACTTTGTGGTCTGCATCTGTTTCTTCTCTATGAGTGTCACTGCTTCATCACAATGAGTCATCACTGACTCTCAAGACCTTCCTTCCATATCCAGTCACGACTCCGCCTGTTTTAAAAGCACTGGTTTATTTCCGCCCCCATCACACACAAACATTGTTCCATCTCACTCAATCCCTTAATGTCAAACCCATCTCCTAGACTAGTGGATGTCATGCCCTGGCATTTACCTTGATGTCATGTGTTGACCTATACTGGCAAACACATTTTTTTTAAGGTCTCTTGTTTGTTGAAAATGTGAATGTTTTTTTTTCCAAAATTCATAATGCAGTATAAACTATTCTGATTTGATGTTCTGTATAATTCAGATTAATCGGAATTCATTTTCAATTTTTTTCAATAGCTATGGCACTTTTCTGTATGTCTGCAGACCATTGCAGCAAATATTATATTTTTGTTGTAGTTATTCCGCTGGTTTGCTGTCTTCATGGATGGGTTCTAGGGTGCTATAATTCGATTTTGGGTACTGCAATGTATATTTGATGTGTTTATTAATTTGTTTGGTTTGTCTTGTCATGCCTGTCGCTTGGGTTCTGCTTCGGAATGAGTGCAGCAGTTTTTTTAAAGGTTCACCAGGTCATCGGTAAGAAACAATTGTTGTCGATGTAATAATATGCTCTGTGATTGTTATGTGAAGACTGCAATGAGTTTTTGAGTGAAACCTGAATGCAAATTTGACTTGTAAAAATGTAATGGAAAATTGCAGGTAATGAAGAAAATGTATAAATAGGCCTATTGAACATGAGTAGGCCTAACTGTTACTGTGCATGGTCTGTAATGCAGCCTAATGATAATGCTAAGTGATGGCTTCAGACATTGGCTTACCCTGTCCCCTTGTGTCCTCTTTCTGTGCCAGTACCTCTAAGTCCCAGGTCAAAAGTGAGCCTGATGGGGATGTATGGGAAATCCTCCAGAAGGCTCCAGCCAGTGAGTATGAGAAGATTGCCTTCCAGTATGGCATCACAGACCTGCGTGGGATGTTGAAGAGGCTAAAGAAGATGAAGAAGGAGGAGAAGAAGAGTGAAGGTTGGTGTCTCTATCTTTGTGAAACCAACACTTATCCTTCAGCTAATACATTATGCATCCTGTGTAAGGGTTGGTGTGAGGTGTGACCCAGGTGCGGTGCAGGATAGACAGTAGGCAGTAGGCAGAGATAGTGAAACAAGGATCTTTACTGGTGGTCCCGAAGCCAGGATACAAAACAACAGACTATACACGAAAACAAATGAGGAGCACATAGGTCTCCAAAAAACAGGCTGACAACAAACAATACGAAATACTAACTCTGACTGGAAAAAGACAATGACACAGGGAGAACACTTCTCGAGTACCTGTAACTCCGTCACGTGATCCGACACTGATATGTACTGCTTGACATCAAGGAACTAGCAGAGAAAACTGAGCAAGGGAACACAGGGAAGTGAGGGCATAAATACACAGGTGAATCAGATAGCCAGAGAGACTAAATGTTACCTCTGTTGCACAGGAGGCTGCTGAAGGGAGGACGGCTCATTATAATGGCCGGAATGGAGTTAATTGAATGGCATCAAACACATGGAAACTATGTGTTTCATGTAGTTGATACCATTCCACCTATTCCGCTCCAGCCATTACCACGAGCCCGTCCTCCCCAATTAAAGCGCCACCAACCTCCTGTGCTCTGCATGGTTAACTATAGGAAAGGTAATTGCTCTCCATGTGTCTGTGTCTCCAAACCCCAGCTTTCCTAAAGAAGCTGGACCCTGCCTACCAGGTAGAAAAAGGGCAAAAAATGAAACTATGCATTGAGGTGGCCAATGAAGATGTAGATGTAAAATGGCTGAAGAATGGACAAGAGATTCAATCAACTGGAAGGTAGCCATGAGCGGAAAGGGTTTTCTGAGCTTGCATTCAACAAACTGAATGAATTACTGATGTACCATCTCTTAAAAAATGTGTGTACAACACATACGTATTCAGCAAATCAACAATACAATTTCTCTTCCCTACCCCCACAACACGTGGATGGACTGTGCTGATCTTGCTGACCTTTCATGAACAGCAAGTAAGTACTTTCATCATTTCAAGCAGCACATCTGAGATTTTTTTATCTAGGTACCGACAGTAGCAAAGGGCTCACTCCATACTGAAATAAGCCATTGTCAACCATTGTAAATATGGAAGCTTTTTTGGGTCTCCACACTGCTGTCTACTCTGAAAACAATATGATGGCTGATGTAAATCTGTTATGCTATAAACCAATTAACCAACTATCTATACAATGTATCATCAAGAAGAAGACAGTGTTACACAGAAGGCTTTTGTGATTTGAATGTTGTCTGTCAAAAAGAAGGGAAATGTATTTTATAAAAGATCTTGATGAATAATTGAGTGGATAATGAAGGTTCTTGTCCATCTACCAGGTACATCTTTGAGAGCGTTGGCAACAAGCGGTACCTGACCATCAACCACTGCTCTCTGTCAGACGATGCCACATACACCTGTGTGGTTGGAGATGAGAAGTGCACCACAGAGCTATTTGTCAAAGGTACATGTGAGACAACTGAAAGTGGACAATCAACGGTCCAACATCAATGTTTCATTTGTACACCAGTTTGAATGCATTTCACACTGACATTCTATTTGTGCCTGTGTGATGTTTAAGATAGCATCATGACATAACAAGGGACAACAAGGGAAACTCACAACAAAGGAAATATGATTATTTGCTAAGATGCCTGGTGGTTTAATTGTGGTTCTTATTGTTTCTTTCTCTGTGTGTCTGCAGAGCCTCCTGTCACTATTACAAGTAATCTGGAGGACCAGATGGTTATGAAGGGTGAGCGGGTGGAGTTAGAGTGTGAGGTGTCAGAAGAAGGGGCTGCTGTCAAATGGTAAGACATTCCCTCAACCCACAAATCAAACTCAAAAACCATAACTTCCTTACCATAGCAGGTGTGAGGAGGTCAACAATGGGAGCCATACCAGACAGGATCTTAAGATTTACAACGTGCCAAGTCCCTGACCCAGGACATCAAAAGCATGGTCTGGCATACTGTTCACATTAAGTCACTTCACAACAACTCGGAGAGACACAACAGATGGCTGGAATAACTAATATGGGTGACATAGTGGTACAGTAGGTTTCGTATAGGAAATAGCTGTATTTTCCGTTTCCCTTGATAGAAGTAATCCACATATCAGATATTGGTTTGAGGATAACATTACTCTGGTTGTAAGGATTGAAACAGTAGTCGTTTTTGAGTCTGTGCTGCATGGTGCACATTCCTCACATGTCCGGTAGATGGCATTTGTGTCGCTCATGGCTGTAACGTGTTAGTCACCCCCAGGCTGTGACTTCCCTGATTGACAGATATATGCTGACCTGCCTGTCACAGTGTCTCTGCCACAGGACTGGGCTGTATATCACGGTGTCTCTGCCACAGTGTCTCTCTCACAGTGTCTCTGCCACAGTGTCTCTGTCACAGTGTCTCTGTCAAAGTGTCTCTGTCACAGTGTCTCTGCCACAATGTCTCTGCCACAGGGCTGGGCTGTGTATCACAGTGTCTCTGCCACAGTGTCTCTGCCACAGTGTCTCTATCACAGTGTCTCTGCCACAGTGTCGCTGTCACAGTGTCTCTGTCACAGTGTCTCTGTCACAGTGTCTCTGTCACAGTGTCTTATCCACAGGGCTGGGCTGTATATCACAACATGCAGTAAATTATCAGCCACATGAAAGGTCACACAGGGCTGTTAGCACCTCCCCTGTCCTTTAGCGTAACAAGAAAGTCATCGTGAATTATGGTCACCCATCTAAAATACAACAGGGTGATGTTCCTGGAATTGGGCCTAACCATGGGCACAGAAATAAATACCTATCTGCCAGTTTGTTTCTATGGGCAAACATACAGTATCAGATTGCCATGATACCACTGTTAATACCTGTGCAACTGTGCCTTCATTGGTGAAAATTAAATAGTTCTTGTAAAGTGATGACCTTTCAGAAAAGTGACATGTTGAGAACATTTGTCAGTGCCGATTTGTAATGCAAAATGGCTGACAGTGATACATCGACAACTCTGTAACACATTCACTAGATACTGTCTAACATAACCTCAAATCAGAGCTGTTATAGTGACACCTCTGACTGTTTATAAAGTCTATATATAGTGTTGCTTAATATATAGAAATGTAGATGTAGAAATGCAGATTCAATCAATCAGACAATAATGGAGAATTTGAGACTGCTGGTGCTCATGTGGGGCTCTGTCTATGCAGGGAGAAATATGGTGTGGAGCTGACAAGGGATGAGTCCTTCAAGTACCGCTTCAAGAAAGATGGCCGCAAGCACGTCCTCATCATTAATGAGGCAACTAAGGAGGACTGTGGCCACTACACAGTTAAAACCAATGGCGGTGAATCTATGGCTGAACTCATGGTGTCGGGTAAGTGCTCACGTCAGACAACATAACAGAATGAAATACATCTCTGCTCAACAATTTTGAACATGATAGCTAGCATCTGGGGGTCCAACCACCTGCCCAGTCCTACAAAGCTTATGGTTCCAGTTAAGGCCAGACCCCACGTAATCTTCTCTTGTCTTCTTCGAACTTTCACCTACATTTTTTATGTATGCTCGGTGAGATACAGAAGAAAACCACTTTTGTGAATCTCCAACCCTTTTCTGTCATACCGATATATCTCACATGTTTCTCTACTTTTTCTCGTGTTCCTTGTCACTCAAGCATGCCCCTGTTCTGCCTAACCTTGAACACATGCCGATGCCAAGGACAATCAACCTCAACTCCCGCCACTCTGCAATCCTGGTTCTACTATCACTTAGCACAAGACACATATGTTATGGCTTCCACAATGGCCTCCGGCGCTAAAGTCTTAGAAGACATGTGCAATATCTTTTTCTGAAGGGTACAGGCTGGCGCGGGTGACCCTTAATTGTCTATCTGTCTCTTTGTCTCTCACTCTCTTACTACCCTCTTCTCTCTTCTCTCCGCCCCCTCTCTTCCTCACTATGATCTCTCTCTCTATCGATCTCTCTCCCTCCTCTCTCTCTCATCTCTCTCCTCTCTCTCTTCTCTCTCTCTCTACTCTACAGCTCTCTCTCTCCTCTCTAGCACACCTGTCTCTCTTGGCATCTCCTCTCGCTCTCTGTGTTCCTTCCCTCTCTCTCTCTCGCTCACTCTGGCGCTCTCTATCTCTCTCTCTCTCTCTCTCTCTCTCTCTCTTCTGCTCTCTTCTCTCTCTCTCTTCTCTCTCTCTAGCTGCGGTTCTGCTGTATGTTACATTTGTTCTGTATATCTAATTTTTGCCAACAGGGGTTTCATCATTATAGGGATAGCCCCGAAAAAGATCTTCAGGCACTCAGCACATTGACCCCATGTTGGCCTCTTCCCGAGAGTCTCGAGAATAACCACCGGCGACGAGGTAGAGCCGTGGTGATGACCCCCCTTCCCCCAGTCGGACCGCCGAAAGTTAGCACGAAAATCTCAACGACCCGGCGGACCCCCTTACTCCCATCTTCTTTACCCCGTCGATTGAACAACAACCATCAATTAACAACGTCACTTCAGCATTTTCAACTATGCAGAACCTTAGCCATGTCACAATGACATCTAAAAAACACCCATTCTCCACCATCTCTTAACTAAGCATCAGTTTATGACCATTTCACAACCCTAACATGACCATAAATGCCCAGTCATTGATGTCAAGAGCTGCAGAGTGCAGACATTGGTTTTGCTGTCCTAAAGATAGACCTGCAATATTTTTTGAAATTTTTTTATGTAGATGTAAATTACATATACAGACATGTATGTTTGTACTGTGGGGAAAAAAAGTATGTAGTCAGCCAGTACATGTCCAGGCCCGTCTGAAGTTTGCTAGAGTGCATTTGGATGATCCAGAAGAGGATTGGGAGAATGTCATATGGTCAGATGAAACCAAAATATAACTTTTTGGTAAAAACTCAACTCGTCGTGTTTGGAGGACAAAGAATGCTGAGTTACATCCAAAGAACACCATACCTACTGTGAAGCATGGGGGTGGAAACATCATGCTTTGGGGCTGTTTTTCTGCAAAGGGACCAGAACGACTGATCCGTGTAAAGGAAAGAATGAATGGGGCCATGTATCGTGAGATTTTGAGTGAAAACCTCCTTCCATCAGCAAGGGCATGAAGATGAAAAGTGGCTGGGTCTTCAGCATGACAATGATCCCAAACACACCGCCCGGGCAACGAAGGAGTGGCTTCGTAAGAAGCATTTCAAGGTCCTGGAGTGGCACTAGCCAGTCTCCAGATCTCAAACCCCATAGAAAATCTTTGGAGGGAGTTGAAAGTCCGTGTTGCCCAGCGACAGCCCCAAAACATCACTGCTCTAGAGGAGATCTGCATGGAGGAATGGGCCAAAATACAAGCAACAGTGTGTGAAAACCTTGTGAAGACTTACAGAAAACGTTTGACCTGTGTCATTGCCAACAAAGGGTATATAACAAAGTATTGGGAAACTTTTGTTATTGACCAAATACTTATTTTCCACCATAATTTGGAAATAAATTCATAAAAAATCCTACAATGTGATTTTCTGGATATTTTTTTCTCAATTTGTCTGTCATAGTTGACGTGTACCTATGATGAAAATTACAGGCCTCTCTCATCTTTTTAAGTGGGAGAACTTGCACAATTGGTGGCTGACTAAATACTTTTTTTCCCCACTGTATATACAGTTATCAAATCAAATCAAAATCAAATCACATTTTATTTGTCAAATGCTCCAAATACAACAGGTGTAGTAGACCTTACTGTGAAATGCTTACTTACGAGCCCTTAACCAACAATGAAAAAAAAATAAAAAAAAGTAAGAATGTTTTTTGCTAAATAGACTAAAGGAAAAATAGTAACGCAATAAAATAAAATAACGTGGCTATATACAAGGGGTACCGGTACCGAGTCAATGTGCAGCGGTACGGGTTAGTCGAGTAATTGAGGTAATATGTACTATACATGTAGGTAGGGGTAAAGTGACTATGCATAGATAATAAACAGAGAGTAGCAGCAGCGTATGTGAGGAGTGTGAGGGAATGTGAATGTATGTGTGTGTGGCGTCATATGCATGTATGTGTATGTTTTGTGTGTGTGTCCGTGTGTGTGTGTGTGTTGCAGTGTCAGTGTAGTATGTGCGGGTGTGTGGTTAAAGTCCAGTAAGTGTCCATCGAACCTGTGCAAGACAGTCAATGCAAAAAAATAAGAATGAATAAGAATAAAATAAGGGGCTCAATGCAAATTGTTCAGGTAGCCATTTGATTAACTGTTCAGCAGTCTTATGGCTTGGGGTAGAAGCTGTTAAAGAGCCTTTTGGTCCTAGACTTGGTGCTCCGGTACCGCTTGCCGTGCGGTAGCAGAGAGAACAGTTTGTGACTTGGGTGGCTGGAGCCTTTGGCAATTTTTAGGGCCTTCCTCTGACACTGCCTGGTATAGAGGTCCTGGATGGCAGGGCCCAGTGATGTACAGGGCCGTACGGACTACCCTCTGTAGCGCCTTGCAGTCGGATGCCGAGCAGTTGCCATACCAAGCAGTGATGCAACCAGTCAGGATGCTCTCGATGGTGCAGCTGTAGATTTTTTTGAGGATCTGAGGACCCATGCAAAATCTTTTCAGTCTCCTGAGGGGGAATAGGCATTGTCGTGCCCTCTTCACGACTGTCTTGGTGTGTCTGGACCGTGATAGTTTGTTGGTGATGTGGACACCAAGGAACTTTAAGCTCTCGACCCGATCCACTACAGCCCCGTCAATGTGAATGGGGGAGTGCTCGGCCCTCCTTTTCCTGTAGTCCACGATCAGCTCCTTTGTCTTGCTCGTGTTGAGGGAGAGGTTGTTGTCCTGGCACCACACTGCCAGGTCTCTGACCTCGTCCCTGTAGGCTGTTTCGTCGTTGATGATCAGGCCTACTACCGTTGTGTCGTCGGCAAACTTAATGATGGTGTTGGAGTTGTGCTTGGCCACACAGTCGTGGGTGAACAGGGAGTACAGGAGGGGACTAAGCATGCACCCCTGAATACACAAGTATCTTGTGTGTATTATTTTGTCATGTGTCGCTCAGGGGTTGTTGCGCGTAGTTGAATTTAAAGATGATATCTGGCCCAGCTCGCAACTAAAGTTTATCTAGGCCTCTAATCAAATGTAGCCGTTGCCAAGAATTACCAGCTGCCAATCTGCTGCAGGAAGCAACGCCTCCCATAGCATAGCTCCCATTATGCTCTCAGTAGCAGCTTCTCATTGCCCCTGTCAGCTAACTTCATTCTGCTGTAACCTTCACTCTGAGTGGAGTAGTATATATTGATCATTGCGGACACTACCTGTCCACTACCCTTAACTGTCTCGTACTCTCTCTTATTTTGATAGACTTTGAGCTTGCAGCCTCCATCGATGTCTGAAAGTATTTGTTTCCTGTGTGGATCAGATGCCCTATCCTCTATGCATCTGGTGTTGTCATATACTGTATAAGTTATACGGTATATCCATGTCACCTAGGTCCCCCAGAAAAACATAGGATTATAATGAACACACCCCATACTCTGAAATATTTTATATACTACATACATTGTGAATCATATGAGGGCCAGTCATGACATACATCTCTGACCTCTGACTTCTGACCCTTTAGAGAAGGAACTGGAGGTGTACCAGAACATTGCTGACCTCACGGTGAAGGCAAAGGACGAGGCTGTGTTTAAGTGTGAGGTCTCAGATGAGAATGTGAATGGTATCTGGTACAAGAACGGAGTGGAAGTGAAGGCCGATGCCAGGACCCATATTACACACATTGGCAGGTGAGAATGATATTCATACTGTTGTATTGGGTAGGGTCAGAAGGTTTGTTGGGTAGTTGGACAAATACTAGTAAAAATTATGTTCTCTCACTGAAGGATCCACAAACTCACTATTGATGATGTCAAACCCGAGGACGAGGGTGACTACACCTTTGTTCCAGAGGGATACGCGTTCAACCTCTCAGCCAAACTCAACTTCCTGGGTACTTTAACAATTACACCATGTCATGTGACCCTGTATTTCATAATGATAATTTTCATCTAATGAATTCATTGCGTGCTTGTCTGTTTTTCAGAGGTCAAGATCGATTATGTGCCTCGCCAAGGTATACCATGGTCTATTCTTCATCCTCGCAGCCTCTTATTCTATTGCAAAGATTATATATCTTGGATTGCTGGATTAAGATACATTTACATATGTTGCATGTCTATCATTCTTTATTCCTGAAGATCCTCCAAAGATCCACCTGGACTGCACGGATCAGACGGCCGACTCCACCATAGTGGTGGTGGCTGGGAACAAGCTGCGACTGGATGTTCCCATCACTGGAGACCCAGCGCCTACTGTGGTCTGGACAAAGGGAGAAAAGGTAAAGCAGCTGGTTTTCCTCATCAGCCACGCAGGCTAGCGCATAGCCTCTATTCCAATCTTGGCAGCCCAGAACCAAATATTGTGTGAACACTGGCCTCTGGCCAGTGAATGTTTAGGAGAGACTACCTCAGTTCCAATCCAGATGATCAGGTCTTCTAGGTAAGGCTTGCTGTGAGAAGACTGAACCATGTTGTTTTATCTGACCCATTAGTAAGTCCTAAGCTGTCTAATACTTTGTATGTTCCCTCATACAATTAACTCTTCCACTACCAGTGGCCACGTACTGTAGACTAGCATAATTATTAATGTTTCTTTCCATGTTTTTTCACTATCAACTATGTGGTTTACCTTGTTTTCCACTATCAACTATGTGGTTTTCCATGTTCTCCATTGTCAAACTTGTTAATTTATGTCTTGACTAATTGTTTCACTTTCATGGTGAGAGGGTCCCTTCCTCACCCATACCAACAGGTAGGAGGTCTGCAGGTGATCACATGACCTAAATGCCCGCAGATGACTGGTTGTTTACTGGGAACGGGAGGTTAGTTGGGGAGAAGGGGAGGACAAGAGGGGAATACCCTCTGGCCCTCTGGCCTCCTCTTCAGCACCCTTACTGCTTTGCTCTGCTCATGTAGGCTGGCTCTGAGGTGGCGGCAGAAACATGGAGCATCAAGGATGGGGATGTGAGTGTGGCCCTAAACACCAACGCTGAGGCCTGTGCATGTCTCTTTTCTGTTACTACTTCTCTCCATATCACCTGGGTTCCAAAAAATGCATCTCTTTGCCCTGTATATTTGTGTTGATGGATTTGTGTGTCAGTCTCATGCTGTTCTTCTTTCTCTTTTGACATCCCTGTTACTTTCTATTCCTCATTTTCTCACACACTGTTCATTTCAAAACATCAAGGATTTTGTCTGTGCCAATAGAGGCCTGGGTGGTAGCATGTTGCATTCTGTCCTACACCAGTTAATTACCTGATAATTAACACAGCATTCAATGCTAAGAAAACAATGCATGCAGTTTCATTCTTCCATGATGATCAGGTAAGAGCATGTTCAAAATCTTCTGCTGAAATGAAAGACATCGAAGAGGTGACACCAGGGCAGAACAGTAAGTATTATAGCTGCTTTTGCATGGCCATTTTAGCTGAGTCTATGAGCAAACCTCCCAGTGTGGTTGGTTTTCTTGCCAAAAAGCATGACCAGGTACATCCTTTCCAGCCAATGTGTCTTGGAAAGTGTATTTCATCCTTTTTTGGCTTTGACAATAAACAGTATCATCAAGGGTGTGTTCACTGGAACAGACCGGAAGCAAGCAAGCCAAAACAAGGAGGGACCTACCTGAATTTGTCCATTAAGAAACTCTTGTTTGCAACGGTGTTCACTAATGAATACACCCCAGATCAGATGATAAAAACGGTTGCATTACGAATTGGAATTGATCCCTTTAGTTCAGCTGAATGAGAATAACTCCACTAATGATCTGCTGTCCTGATGAGTCAGGTGATGACAGAGGAAGATGGAAGGGTCCACGTGGAGAGCACCAAGGGACACTGTATCTTCACTATTGAGGGAGCGGATAAACAGGACGAGGGCCTCTACTCTGTGATTGTTCGGAACCCTGCTGGGGAGGACAAAGCTGACATTAACGTCAAAGTTGTTGGTAAGATACAACCACTGTCCACAAGGATTTTTGTTGATAAATTTTTGTTCCTGTCATTAGTCAAAGAGATGAGACACATTTGTTTAATCAGGTTGTGCCTTGCTTATCCTGTATTTTACGCTATATTTCCAGAGCTTGGGACAAACGTTCTATCTGCATTTTTGTCCAAATTGAGTTATTGTCAAAGCCTTGTTCTGTTCAATGTTCTCTACCTATATAGTACTCTAAATACCCCAATTCATGTTGTTAAGTTGAAACGAATACTAGATATAAATTGTGGACACCATTCAAACCATTGAGGGTTTGGAACTTTAAAGCCAATTATCTCAGAATCATCTTTTTGGAGATAAAACCTTATAGTCCCAAGTCAGCTTATTCCTGTTTTTTTATGGCCTTTTAATTTCCTCAGATGCGCCAGACCCTCCCTCGGCCCCAAGGATCCTCAGTGTTGGGGAGGACTCCTGCATTGTCCAGTGGGACCCCCCTAAGTCAGATGGTGGCAACCCGATCATTGGTGAGGATATACAGTAGCGTGCATAATGGCTTACCATATCTTATGTTCAGGCAGACACAGTGCTCACTTGTTTACAGCAAATATGAGTAGTTTGACTGTAGTATACTGATAGGTACAGTCACATGTCTATCAGTTGAGGCTGCTGGGAGGATGGCTCATAATAATGGCTGGAACGGAACTAATGGAATGGCATCAAACACATGGAAACCATGTGTTTGATGTATTTGACACCATTCCACTAATTCAGCTCCAGCCATTACCATGAGCCCATTCTCCACAATTAAGGTGCCACCAACCTCCTGTGATGTCTATAGTAACCATGTTTGACTTTTTTTTCCCAGGCTATGTGCTGGAGAGGAAGAAGAAGAAGAGCTACAGGTGGATGAGGCTGAACTTTGACCCCTACACTGATACTACCTATGAGTCCAAGAGGATGATAGAGGGTGTGGAATATGAGATGCGTGTCTATGCAGTGAACGCCATCGGCATGTCACGGCACAGCGCTGCCTCACAACCCTTTATCCCAGTGGGTGAGTTCCCCTCCTATGGTTTTTACTGTGTGAAATTGAACTTGCCTGTTTGAGGGATGGGGAAATAACTTTTGTCCCAAATGCAAACAGATAGGTGTCAGCTTTCAAAACATGTGTGGAGAATGATTTAATGGGATGGATGGTCATCCCATAGACACGTGCTCTGGTGGGGCGGTCACACTGGGCTGTAATCATGCTTGACCTTTGGTCATTCCTGGTGACAGTCAGACTAGGGGACAGTCAGACTAAGGGCCAGGTCAGCTAAAGGTATCAGTCACTCCCCAGTCATATGAGTATGTTTACATGCTCACTAATAATTTGATATTAAACTGATAATGGCAGTAGGACCAGTATTTGCAATAACCAGAGTAAGGTGTTTACATGACTATCTTAATCGGCGTAAGGTCAAAATCGAAGTAAGCATACGCTGATTAAAACACCTGGTTTTCTGAGCAATCTTTTGAATTATTAGGACATGGAAACAGCTTAATCGGAGATCCAGCAGTGTATTTGATCTGCACATGTGCCAGCACCAGCAGCGCAAGCCTCTTACAAACTGTATATAGGCTTCCCAAAAATAACATGATCACTGTGGTACAACGTTTATTTTGATTGGTGATTTTCAGCATTTATTAAATGCCATCAGGTAGCCTGATTTCAGATGTGTCCATGTAAACAGGATTATTAGGAAAATCGTTCTTCTTACAAACCATGTAAATGTTTAAATCAAACTATTATATTCATCTGACTATTCACAATAATCGTATTATTGTGTGCATGTATTGTCACACTGTCACGTAAACACAACTTTTGTCCTGGCAGAGATGACTGCTGTCTGATTTACACTGACCTGCTGTGAGCTGACTACAGAACATAAACAGAGCATAAAAACTGTGGAAACAACCCCATTGTTCTCACTGCAGCTACATACCTGTATTCTCTGAAGATAATGTTGATATTATTTCCTTGAGAATACAGTTGCACTAAAATGTCACAAAATTCACAGTTTGATGTATCATCTTATTATTTACATGATTTTAATTGAAAATGTGCAAAACTGTTCTCATCTTAAAGTATTTGGATTAACCGTATACATATTTTCAGTGGCAGTGTGTTTGATTGACTTCAGTGTTGTCTATCACTACAGTGAATTGTCTTGGGGGTTTGGCTACTGAGAGTTAAGTTTACATAGCCCCTAAGCCATGTAAGGTCTGCTATGCAATCACAACGGGCACCTGTAACCACTCAACAACACATGGTCATCTTGACATTTGGTTTCCATGGCATGCAGACTTGTGCTTGTAGGGAAAACATGTTTGGGTAGACGCTGGCTAAAATAAGACTGGAGGTGTCTTCAGGACAGAAATCAGAGTCTGGTGGAATTAAGGGGCTCTCTTTTGCTGTGTCTCTTATTATTTTACCTTGGGTCTCCCTCAACCTACTCATCCTTCTCCGGGATGTGAGTGTGAACCCCGAGGTATCCGGACGGACCCATCTCTTGTAAGACAGCTGATTAGGAAACTATCCGTGGCATCCCCCTCTATAAATAATGGCATGTAAGCGCGCGGCGGGGCTGGGACCAGCTGCTTAGAACACAGGGGCTAGCTGCTACTGTTGAGGCTGCTCTAGGAGGACATTGACCCAGCTGAGCTGCTGCTGTCGAGTGCTATCACTGAGGCAGAACAGAGAGAGAGAGAGGAGCAGCAGCAGAGTAGATTGAGGCGTGTGGGAGACAAGGAACAGGAGGAGTACGACAAGCTCACTTCGAACAGGACTATCTTAACCTTATTCAAGGATGACCAAGCCAATGCTGCCAAAGACGGCCGAGAAGAAGCCAGCGGCGGAGGAGGTTCCAGTGGACGGTGCAGCAAAGGCACCGACAGAGGGGAAGGCCAAGCCAGAGGCAGCAGCAGCACCTCCTCCAGAGGAACCTGCCCCAGATCCAGTGTCAGAGGCCCCCGTTGAGCCAGCAGCACCCACAGCAGAGCCAGCCCCAGCAGAAGGAGCCCCAGCTGAGGACGGGGCCCCTCCGGCAGATGCAGCACCTCCGACAGAAGGAGCCCCACCAGCCGATGGAGCTCCTCCTGCAGAGGGTGCCCCAGCAGAGCCTGCCCCGGCAACAGAGCCCGTACCAGAGCCTCCTAGGAGTAGGCATTGATTTATTTTCCTCTAAGCTAGGGTCAACTATTAGGGGCACGGTCTGTGCTGTAATAAATACTGGGTTTTCTTTCATGATGATGATAATAAGATAGAAGGTAAACCCTGGCTGTGGTTTCTGTGGTTCTGTTCTCCTTTTTACTGTTTTTGTGAGGGGCAATATAAGTAGGAATAGACAGTGCCACATTAATTGGTAGATCAGAGATGTTTGCTGTATGTTTTGTCTCTCTGTATTAAAACTCACAGGCGCAAAAGAGAAGAAATGTTTTCTACTAACAGACTTTCCTGTGTTGTTGTTTGTGTATTGGCTAGTAAGATGAAAAGGATGTTTATCAAATTATTATGTTTGCTGTGTTCCTGTTCTGCCGGTAGCCGTCGGTTGGTCTTTCCCATTCAGTCCGACCCTTTCAACACAGACTGACCTCTGACCTCTAGTACGGGCCTACATGGCGCCCCTGTCTGTTTAACCTGTGACATGGGACCAGAAATGATCAGTCTATAATTTTAATGGTAGGTTTATTTGAACAGTGAGAGACAGAATAACAACAAAAAAATCCAGAAAAATGCATGTCAAAAATGTTATAAATTGATTTGAGTTTGAGTTTGAGTTTATTTTTTATTTTTACAGGGACAGTGCACATTAATCAACGTTTCAGTAAAAGTGCCGGTTTTAGCCAGCCGGCTAATTTTCAACCGCAGTCCCTGGGCAGGTTATTAAAAACAATTACAATATAGACAATAACAACATAGAACAAGACATATCATACAGACATAGCAACATAGGACAAACAAGACGTAGCATACAGACCGAGCAACATAGAACAAAAAGCAGCAAGACAAAATTCATAAAAGCAACAAAGTGTTTCCACACCTCACAAGTTACAGACAACAGACATGGAAAGCGGCAACACACAGCTAGGGACCATGTTCACAAATCTGATTGACCTTTATGCATTTGCATTTTAATGAGGGAAATAAGTATTTGACCCCCTCTCAATCAGAAAGATTTCTGGCTCCCAGGTGTCTTTTATACAGGTAAAGAGCTGAGATTAGGAGCACACTCTTAAAGGGAGTGCTCCTAATCTCAGTTTGTTACCTGTATAAAAGACACCTGTCCACAGAAGCAATCAATCAATCAGATTCCAAACTCTCCACCATGGCCAAGACCAAAGAGCTCTCCAAGGATGTCAGGGACAAGATTGTAGACCTACACAAGGCTGGAATGGGCTACAACACAGTTGGTGCGATTATTCGCAAATGGAAGAAACACAAAATAACTGTCAATCTCCCTCGGCCTGGGGCTCCATGCAAGATCTCACCTCGTGGAGTTGCAATGATCATGAGAATGGTGAGGAATCATCCCAGAACTACACGGGAGGATCTTGTCAATGATCTCAAGGCAGCTGGGACCATAGTCACCAAGAAAACAATTGGTAACACACTACGCCGTGAAGGACTGAAATCCTGCAGCGCCTGCAAGGTCCCCCTGCTCAAGAAGGCACATATACAGGCCCGTCTGAAGTTTGCCAATGAACATCTGAATGATTCAGAGGAGAACTGGGTGAAAGTGTTGTGGTCAGATGAGACCAAAATCGAACTCTTTGGCATCAACTCAACTCGCCGTGTTTGGAGGAGGAGGAATGCTGCCTATGACCTCAAGAACACCATCCCCACTGTCAAACATGGAGGTGGAAACATTATGCTTTGGTGGTGTTTTTTTGCTAAGGGGACAGGACAACTTCCCTCAGCCAGGGCATTGAAAATGGGTCATGGATGGGTATTCCAGCATGACAATGACCCAAAACACACGGCCAAGGCAACAAAGGAGTGGCTCAAGAAGAAGCACATTAAGGTCCTGGAGTGGCCTAGCCAGTCTCCAGACCTTAATCCCATAGAAAATCTGAAGGTTCGAGTTGCCAAACGTCAGCCTCGAAACCTTAATGACTTGGAGAAGATCTGCAAAGAGGAGTGGGACAAAATCCCTCCTGAGATGTGTGCAAATCTGGTGGCCAACTACAAGAAACGTCTGACCTCTGTGATTGCCAACAAGGGTTTTGCCACCAAGTACTAAGTCATGTTTTGCAGAGGGGTCGAATACTTATTTCCCTCATTAAAATGCAAATCAATTTATAACATTTTTGACACGTGTTTTTCTGGATTTTTTTGTTGTTATTCTGTCTCTCACTGTTCAAATAAACCTACCATTAAAAATTATAGACTGATCATGTCTTTGTCAGTGGGCAAACGTACAAAGTCAGCAGGGGATCAAATACTTTTTTCCCTCACTGTACTCTGTTCCGGCCATTATTATGAGCCAGCCTCCCCTCAACAGCCTCCACTGATGGTTAAATAAGACAGATGGTTACTTAAGGGAAAAATGAAAGTAGGGTGTTTGGTCAGGGTGGATGGGTAGGCATATCATGCAAACGTCTAGCAACCCAAAGGTTGCGAGTTTGAATCTCATCATGGACAACTTCAACATTTTAGCTAATTAGCAACTTTTCAACTACTTACTACTTTTGAGCTATTTTGCAACTACTTAGCATGTTAGATATCCCTTCCCCTCCCCCTAACCCTAACCCCAACCTTAACCCTTTTAGCTAACCCTTCCCCTAACCTTTACCCTTTAACTTACCTTAACCCTAACCCCTAACAATAACCCCTAGCCTGGCTAACGTTAGCCAGCTAGCTGATGTTAACCCCCTAGCCACCTAGCTAGAATTTATAACATATCATAAGTTTGCAAATTCGTAACATATTGTACGTGTCGCAAATTCGTAACATTTAATATGAATTGTAATTCGTAAACATGTCATACGAAATGGGTAATGGACATCCACAAATTAATACATACCATATGAAACATATCATATCATACTAAATGGAGTGGCTCGGATATGCGTACAGAATAATACGAAATGCTCTAAGACCAGGTTGAGTATTGATGAAAGCTGTGTCCTGCAAGGGCCATTCTAAATCTCCAGTGTGCTAGCTCCATGTCAGCTTGCCTGCAGGGGAGCTTAACACATTGGTTGTGGTAAGGTTGGAGATACTGTATTTCAGGACTCGTGCATTTATTGTAGGACCCTAGTTTACATGGCTGTTACCTGTAGCAACACTACACTTGATCTGCAGCTAAGTTAAGCTGCCTTGATGCTGAGGCATCAGTGACAGGTAGCAGTAAATCCACAATAAAAAATATCCTGGCTTGACACCTGCTGACACTGATATGTTTCCTCCTCTGTTTTGCAATATGTCTTCTTTACAGTCACGTACTGTGACATCCGTGACATAACATATGGAACTATTTATGTATTTTTTCTTGACATAGATTTCTTATTTAGACTAGACTAATGTTGCTGATCTCCCTCTCTCTTCCTTTCTTGTGTCCCTCTCTCCCTCTCTCTCTGTAAGCCCCAACCAGTGAGCCCGTCGGCCTGTGCGTGGATGACATCAGTGACACCACCATCTCACTGAAGTGGAGAACCCCGGAGCATCTGGGCTCGTCTGAGCTGGATGGCTATGGGGTCGAGTACTGCAAGGAGGGCTGTGAGTCCTGGGGTCCAGGAGGGTCTGGCATTCAATATTTTGATCCCTGACACACACACACACACACACACACACACACACACACACAATATCTGAGTAGATAAGGGGAGGATGACATGAAAGCTGTTGAAGAGAGTATTTCAGTTAGGAACACAATATTTGAAAACCAACCTAACAATATACAGTGGGGGAAAAAAGTATTTAGTCAGCCACCAATTGTGCAAGTTCTCCCACTTAAAAAGATGAGAGAGGCCTGTAATTTTCATCATAGGTACACGTCAACTATGACAGACAAATTGAGAAAAAAAATCCAGAAAATCACATTGTAGGATTTTTAATGAATTTATTTGCAAATTATGGTGGAAAATAAGTATTTGGTCACCTACAAACAAGCAAGATTTCTGGCTCTCACAGACCTGTAACTTCTTCTTTAAGAGGCTCCTCTGTCCTCCACTCGTTACCTGTATTAATGGCACCTGTTTGAACTTGTTATCAGTATAAAAGACACCTGTCCACAACCTCAAACAGTCACACTCCAAACTCCACTATGGCCAAGACCAAAGAGCTGTCAAAGGACACCAGAAACAAAATTGTAGACCTGCACCAGGCTGGGAAGACTGAATCTGCAATAGGTAAGCAGCTTGGTTTGAAGAAATCAACTGTGGGAGCAATTATTAGGAAATGGAAGACATACAAGACCACTGATAATCTCCCTCGATCTGGGGCTCCACGCAAGATCTCATCCCGTGGGGTCAAAATGATCACAAGAACGGTGAGCAAAAATCCCAGAACCACACGGGGGGACCTAGTGAATGACCTGCAGAGAGCTGGGACCAAAGTAACAAAGCCTACCATCAGTAACACACTACGCCGCCAGGGACTCACATCCTGCAGTGCCAGACGTGTCCCCCTGCTTAAGCCAGTACATGTCCAGGCCCGTCTGAAGTTTGCTAGAGTGCATTTGGATGATCCACAAGAGGATTGGGAGAATGTCATATGGTCAGATGAAACCAAAATAGAACTTTTTGGTAAAAACTCAACTCGTCGTGTTTGGAGGACAAAGAATGCTGAGTTGCATCCAAAGAACACCATACCTACTGTGAAGCATGGGGGTGGAAACATCATGCTTTGGGGCTGTTTTTCTGCAAAGGGACCAGGACGACTGATCCGTGTAAAGGAAAGAATGAATGGGGCCATGTATCGTGAGATTTTGAGTGAAAACCTCCTTCCATCAGCAAGGGCATTGAAGATGAAACGTGGCTGGGTCTTTCAGCATGACAATGATCCCAAACACACCGCCCGGGCAACGAAGGAGTGGCTTCTTAAGAAGCATTTCAAGGTCCTGGAGTGGCCTAGCCAGTCTCCAGATCTCAACCCCATAGAAAATCTTTGGAGGGAGTTGAAAGTCCGTGTTGCCCAGCGACAGCCCCAAAACATCATTGCTCTAGAGGAGATCTGCATGGAGGAATGGGCCAAAATACCAGCAACAGTGTGTGAAAACCTTGTGAAGACTTACAGAAAACGTTTGACTTGTGTCATTGCCAACAAAGGGTATATAACAAAGTATTGAGAAACTTTTGTTATTGACCAAATACTTGTTTTCCACCATCATTTGCAAATAAATTCATAAAAAATCCTACAATGTGATTTTCTGGAATTTTTTTTCTCATTTTGTCTGTCATAGTTGACTTGTACCTATGATGAAAATTACAGTGGGAGAACTTGCACAATTGGTGGCTGACTAAATACTTTTTTTCCATACTGTAGAAAACTGTCAAATAAATCCAAACAAATCCAAATGCAGCAACATTTCAGAGAACATTGCCTGTTTTTTTGTTTATCTTGACCCCCTTACATAAAACGACATACTCTATCTTGCTATTTGTATTACACTTTCCATGACGAGCCATTATCTAAAAACCTTTGGTTTTAGTCTGACAACACCAAGAGCCTAAGTTGTCAAGAGTGGTTTGAGCCAGGGACCATTAGCACAATGCCTATGTAATTAAAGCAATCCCTTCAGGGCTGGCTGTGCTAGCCAGCTGCACGTCAATGTTCTAACTCAATCCATGCAGGCAGCCCTAGTTGTGATGACATATAGGGATGGGGCACTGAGCCTTCTTCTGATGTTGCGTTTTGACACGTCTGTCTGGCCGTCTCCTGCCCACAGCTGATGAATGGGTGCCAGCCTTTGAGGGTCTGACAGAGAGGACATCTGTGATCATCCGGGACCTGCCAACCGGGGAGAAGATGCAGTTCCGTGTCAGAGCCTACAACATGGCAGGGCCCAGTGCACCTACCTCCCTAGCACAGGCCGTCACTATCCACGAGATCATGCGTAAGCATTCCCCCATGATTGCCTAAAACAAATATACATTTTTCCATTTTACCCTCCCTCCCATACAACGAGCATAAAGTCCAAACATGTACAAGACATGCATTTATTTTTTACCAGAGAAGTTCCTAAAACACTTGCACTGTAAGAGTAAGACATCATCAGTTTGTTCAAAACCCAAAGGTTGAAATGGAAAGTAAGCGAGGTGTCCTGCTGTTGTCGCCTCTCTCCTATTTCTCTACAGTTTGAGATATTTAGCTGATGAGGCTTGAAGTTAGCCTCCACTACCCTACATGGATCTCAGGGCTCACAGATCATGTTTGGGAACACACATACATTGCCAAGGTCATAAGCTATTTCGCTCTCAGCACCTAACAGATTAGCTGCGAGGTGTATTTTGAGGTCTCAGATGCACACTGAAGCCCCCGGCCTTTCCGCTTGCTGACAGGATGATACTATCACTAAGTGCTGATTGGCAGTAAGGCAATTCCACAGTGACAGAGTGACACTGAGACTCAGATTTTTCACTTTAAAATGTATGTCAAACAAAAACCAATGATTGCAAAGTTAAACAAACCATACAACTCTATGCACAAGGACTACATTTAACATTTTCCATTGAAAGTGTTACAAAAACACATTTACTTGTAGAAAAGTGCAGATGCAAAGTTTGGTAACAGAATGGTGGCACAAACCCTCATTCTGTTACCAAACTTTGCAAACTTTCAAGTAAATGTGTTTTTGTCAAATGTTCTGTGGAAATTGTTAAAAGTAGTCCTTGTACATAGAGTTGTATGGTTTGTTTAACTTTCCAATCATTGGTTTTTGTTTGACATACATTTTTAAGTGAAAGTCTGTGTCATTGTTACCGTGGAATTGCCCAGTAGCACTGACAAGCACTTGATGTTGTCAACTCACTTGATGTTGTCAACTCATGTTGTCAAAGTCAGAGCCATGAACCACCTTCAAGGGTTGGGCGGTATCCAGATTTTCATACCTTCATACCGTTCCTGTACCATAGCGGGGTATACGGTATTACCGGCAGTGCACACAACGGCCGCTATTTCTTTCCCCCAAAAATTATCATAGCGGACGCTAGCTAAATGCTAACAAGTGCAAGCGACCATAAACTAATTGCAAGGACAGACAACCCAGCCCATAAAGTTATATAACTACAGTATCTCAAAAGGCTAATCAGTTTGCTGCGGCACAATTTTCTTTGGGGCAGCCAGGATTTTTATCCAGGAGGGGATTGATTGTTTCTGCCGTAACCAAGAAGCTTGATCTTGCGAGCTAGCTACTTAGCTAGCAAGTTAGCAAACCAAATACGTAGCTGGAGCCTTTTTTAAAATTTATTTTCTTCACCTTTATTTAACCAGGTAAGCCAGTTGAGAACAAGTTCTCATTTACAACTGCGACCTGGCCAAGATAAAGCAAAGCAGTGCGATAAAAACAACAACACAGAGTTATATATGGGGTAAACAAAACATAAAGTCAAAAATACAACAGAAAATATATGTACAGTGTGTGCGAATGTAGTAAGTTATGGAGGTAAGGCAATAAATAGGCCATAGTGCAAAATAGTTACAATTTCGTATTAACACTGGAATGATAGATGTGCAAAAGATGATGTGCAAATAGAGATACTGGGGTGCAAATTAGCAAAATAAATAACAATATGGGGATGAGGTAGTTGGGTGGGCTAATTTCAGAATGGCTGTGTAAAGGTGCAGTGATCGGTAAACTGCTCTGACAACTGACGCTTAAAGTTAGTGAGGGAGATAAGAGTCTCCAGCTTCAGAGATTTTTGCAGTTCGTTCCAGTCATTGGCAGCAGAGAACTGGAAGGAATGGCGGCCAAAGGAGGTGTTGGCTTTGGGGATGACCAGTGATATATACCTGCTGGAGCGCAGACTACGGGTGGGTGTTGCTATGGTGACCAGTGAACTAAGATAAAACTGGGATTTGCCTAGCAGTAATTTATAGATGACCTGGAGCCAGTGGGTTTGGCGATGAATATGTAGTGAGGGCCAGCCAACAAGAGCGTACAGGTCACAATGGTGGGTAGTATATGGGGCTTTGGTGACAAAACGGATGGCACTGTGATAGACTACATCCAATTTGCTGAGTAGAGTGTTGGAGGCTATTTTGTAAATGACATCGCCGAAGTCAAGGATCGGTAGGATAGTCAGTTTTACTAGGGCATGTTTGGCAGCATGAGTGAAGGAGGCTTTGTTGCGAAATAGGAAGCCGATTCTAGATCTAACTTTTGATTGTAGATGCTTAATGTGAGTCTGGAAGGAGAGTGTACAGTCTAACCAGACACCTAGGTATTTGTAGTTGTCCACATACTCTAGGTCAGACCCGCCGAGAGTAGTGATTCTAGTCGGGTGGGCGGATGCAAGCAGCGTTCGGTTGAAGAGCATGCATTTAGTTTTACTAGTGTTTAAGAGCAGTTGGAGGCTACGGAAGGAGTGTTGTATGGCGTTGAAGCTCGTTTGGAAGTTCGTCCAGCTGGAGCCTTGAGCTGGAGATCATTGATTTGGTAGCACGCACACCCGCAGCCCCCGTGAGGCAGGTAGGCCCCCGAGCTTTAGGGTACTGATGGCATTGGCATCATTTCAGGTAAACCTATGGTAGGCTATAGCAAAGTGACTTTATTTATTCTATTTACTGCATTTCTACACAATTTAAAAACTCTAAAATGCTATTCGGAGAACAGCAAAAACAAGCAATTGACAACAATTGACTCCATCCATTATCACCTTGGCTGCTGTAGCTTCATTCACCTCAGTTGATAAGGGACATAAATAACATTCTTCAGCAACATGTCTTACAGCAATTAGCTGCTACGCACTAGCTCAGCACCGGGATTGAAAACTCTAGTTTAGTTTCATGTCAAGTCAAACAGCAGTTACCTAGTCAACTACAGCCATTTTCCACCTCTGCACTGTTTTGAGAGGAAAGTCGGGCTCTTCACTGCAGCCAGGCAAACAGCCTTCCCGCCCACTCCAAGGTGTCTGCATGGTCCTAAAGCTAGCCCAAATTGATACCCCTGATTGACAGTATTGAAAACACGATATACCGCCAAGCCTACCACTTTCCCCACACACGCACACACAGCACACCACAAAACTGTACCCAAACACTTTTATTAATTGACATCTTATGATATTTTTGGTCACAGAGAAACCCAAAATCTGGATTCCAAGAAATCTCCGCCAGACCCTCATCAAGAAAGTGGAGGAGACAATCAACCTTGTGATCCCTTTCCAGGTACGGGGTAGAGTACACCCTTCACACTCTATAGGATGAATGTACTTAATATATGCTGGTGCCCTTGCCCATAAGACAAATATGTTGAATGACACAGGAACTATAAATTGCTATTTGCTTTTCTTTGGTGCACATTGAGTTATGGAATGGTGCTACCCACATGACAAAATACTATAGTTTACTATAGAATACTACAGTAGGCCTACTTACTATAGAATTCTTTAGTAAACTCTAGTATACTGTAGAATACTATACTACACACTGTTTCCCAATGTCATGTGTAGTACAGATGTAGGATCTTAATTTGATCACCCTGTTTTCAGGAGAACTTTTCTGCAATGCAGGAAATTGAAAACTTGTAGTGTATTTGAGGTTGAAAAGGGCTTAATTTTTCAACAAAAATGTCCATTAATTAAAATCCACATAATAATTCACTTATTACTGATTTTCCTGCTGTAGCGAACAGGCTCAAATTAAGATCCTACATCTGTACTTACTATAGCATTTTGTAGTATACTGTAGAATACTATAGTAAATACTACATTATTATCCGCACCAAAAAAATACTTAAGTAAATACTACAGTAATGTCCGCAAAACACAACAGTTTTTTATGTATAAAAATACTACAGTATTTAATTTTCATATTCCCCTCCCCCATAACCCAATTTGTGCCACCCATAAGTGAGAAACCTACATGCCAAGTATAGACCATACTGTGTTCACTACAGGTTATAGAAAAGAGCAGAGGCTCTGAACTATCTGTTCAGACCACAGTCCTACATATCTACAGGTTATGCAAAATTAGCTCTTTTAGTATTTGTCCAGTACACTACCAGTCAAAAGTTTGGACACACCTACTCATTCCAGGGTTTTTCTTAATTTTTACTATTTTTTATATTGTAGAATAATGGTGAAGACATCAAAACTATGAAATAACACATGTGGAATCATGTAGTAACCAAAAAAGTGTTAAATAAATCAAAATATATTTTATATTTGAGATTCTTCAAATAGCCACCCTTTGCACACTCTTGGCATTCTCTCAGCCAGCTTCATGAGGTAGTCACCTGGAATGCGTTTCAATTAACAGGTGTGCCTTCTTAAAAGTTAATTTGTGAAATTTATTTCCTTATTTTGACAGACTGATAACTGATACAGACATGATTCTCTTAAGCAGCTCATAGTGAGTGACTGCTGAAAACCACAAGCCAAGGAGTCTGGGCCACCGCCAAATGTACCACCATCTACTGTATCCATTAGGCACACTTATCTAGGTTAAAATCTGCCATTAAAATATCTGAACAATTTCACATTTCAAATTTCTTAGTTTAGAGATGTATGGAAATCATCATCACCCCTGGAAATATAATGATTATGTAGTAAATTTAGGCTACTGAGGTAAACTAATTTTTCACAAATACTTGTCCTGTAGTCCTCCAGAGTCTGGTTTGGCCTTAAAAAAAAAGAGAATGTTTATGTTAATTTCCAATCTCAATTATTTTTTATTTTAGGGTAAGCCAAGGCCTGTGATCACCTGGACTAAAGATGGGGAGCCTCTGAACCCAAAGCAGGTCAGCGTCCGGAACAGCGACACCGACACAATCCTCTTCATCCGCAAGTCAGAGAGGAAGGACTCTGGGAAGTACGAAATCAAGCTGCAGATTGAGAATGTTGAGGACACAGCCAGCATCTCAATTCAAATAGTCGGTGAGGACTCCTTACAACTCTAATGGTTTTGAATAGAATGGAAATGTTTTATGATTGATTGATGAGTCACTTTCATATCATAGTGAACAATATCATTCACACAAACAGAGACTTTGCAATGTCCACATACCAGATAGAGTATTTTGGATTCAGTTATTGGATAAGTTGATAACTGAAGCCAGCTTATCAAGGCCCTATAAGAAGAGAAAGTAATGTAAAAAGGATGTAATATTATTCAAATTTTATTATTTTTGTAATTTCTTGTACCATATTGTCTTTCATTGAAATAGTAAGATGAATGCACCAATTTGTAAGTCGCTCTGGATAAGAGCGTCTGCTAAATGACTTAAATGTAAATGTAAATGTAATGATTGATTCTGTGGTGGCACTATCGGTTTACTCAGAATGGGTTTATGCTGTATCTGAGGTGATAACTACATTGAAACTGACACATCCCGCAAGCTGGTCCCTTTGCCGTCATTATCATTGGATATTGAAACAAAACCACACCTTCCCCTAAAATACAGCGTAAACAATATTCTAAGTGTACCCGCCGTGTGGTTTACCTTATCTGTGATTAATTGAATTGGAGTTTAAGGCAAAGTTATGGTACAGTATGTTGACTCAATAAATATTATTTATTATCTTTAGATTTGCCAGGGTCTCCAGAGAAACTGAAGATCATGGATGTTTGGGGCTTCAACGTGGCTCTGGAGTGGAAGCCACCCAAGGACAATGGAAACTGTGAAATAACCGGCTATATGGTTCAGAAGGCTGACAAGAAGACCATGGTGAGAGTCAATGTGCTGGGCAGTGTCTTAACATGAAAATGTTCTCTTCATCAATTTGTGCAAGAGGTTGATATACAACACAAAATTAGCAATCAATATTGGTCAGACAATATTGAATGAGTAAGGTTATACGAAGATCATACACTGCCCCACCCATGGCAGGTTCAGGAAAGCATGATCTATATTCTAAATTATGATTAGGCTAATATTTATTTTCACATCCCAGTATGTGTGTGAGAGAGGGAGAGATACCTGATAATATCAGTTAGTTATCTGGCTGGGCTCAGAGTGAACTATGCCAAGCTCTGAATGTTAGAACGCTGGGTTTAATAACCATACCATTGCGAAGGCAAGGTACAGTGGGGAAAAAAAGTATTTAGTCAGCCACCAATTGTGCAAGTTCTCCCACTTAAAAAGATGAGAGAGGCCTGTAATTTTCATCATAGGTACACGTCAACTATGACTGACAAATTGAGAATTTTTTTCTCCAGAAAATCACATTGTACCTATGATTTTTATTTATTTGCAAATTATGGTGGAAAATAAGTATTTGGTCACCTACAAACAAGCAAGATTTCTGGCTCTCACAGACCTGTAACTTCTTCTTTAAGAGGCTCCTCTGTCCTCCACTCGTTACCTGTATTAATGGCACCTGTTTGAACTTGTTATCAGTATAAAAGACACCTGTCCACAACCTTAAACAGTCACACTCCAAACTCCACTATGGCCAAGACCAAAGAGCTGTCAAAGGACACCAGAAACAAAATTGTAGACCTGCACCAGGCTGGGAAGACTGAATCTGCAATAGGTAAGCAGCTTGGTTTGAAGAAATCAACTGTGGGAGCAATTATTAGGAAATGGAAGACATACAAGACCACTGATAATCTCCCTCGATCTGGGGCTCCACGCAAGATCTCACCCCGTGGGGTCAAAATGATCACAAGAATGGTGAGCAAAAATCCCAGAACCACACGGGGGGACCTAGTGAATGAGCTGCAGAGAGCTGGGACCAAAGTAACAAAGCCTACCATCAGTAACACACTACGCCGCCAGGGACTCAAATCCTGCAGTGCCAGACGTGTCCCCCTGCTTAAGCAGGTACATGTCCAGGCCCATCTGAAGTTTGCTAGAGTGCATTTGGATGATCCAGAAGAGGATTGGGAGAATGTCATATGGTCAGATGAAACCAAAATATAACTTTTTGGTAAAAACTCAACTCGTCGTGTTTGGAGGACAAAGAATGCTGAGTTGCATCCAAAGAACACCATACCAACTGTGAAGCATGGGGTGGAAACATCATGCTTTGGGGCTGTTTTTCTGCAAAGGGACCAGGACGACTGATCCGTGTAAAGGAAAGAATGAATGGGGCCATGTATCGTGAGATTTTGAGTGAAAACCTCCTTCCATCAGCAAGGGCATTGAAGATGAAACGTGGCTGGGTCTTTCAGCATGACAATGATCCCAAACACACCGCCCGGGCAACGAAGGAGTGGCTTCGTAAGAAGCATTTCAAGGTCCTGGAGTGGCCTAGCCAGTCTCCAGATCTCAACCCCATAGAAAATCTTTGGAGGGAGTTGTAAGTCCGTGTTGCCCAGCGACAGCCCCAAAACATCACTGCTCTAGAGGAGATCTGCATGGAGGAATGGGCCAAAATACCAGCAACAGTGTGTGAAAACCTTGTGAAGACTTACAGAAAACGTTTGACCTGTGTCATTGCCAACAAAGGGTATATAACAAAGTATTGAGAAACTTTTGTTATTGACCAAATACTTATTTTCCACCATAATTTGCAAATAAATTCATAAAAAATCCTACAATGTGATTTTCTGGATTTTCTTTCTCTCATTTTGTCTGTCATAGTTGACATGTACCTATGATGAAAATTACAGGCCTCTCATCTTTTTAAGTGGGAGAACTTGCACAATTGGTGGCTGACTAAATACTTTTTTCCCCCACTGTAGCTAAGCTCTCTGACACACAGCCATAATTGACTAATGTATGTACACTATGTGAGGGGAAGAATGCTACATGGTCACCGAGGGGTATTTTACCCTCCCTTGTGACACACAGTCAACCACAGCTTGGCAGAGAGTCTTTGTGGGTAAGGAGAGCTGCATTCTGGGCCTGTTTGTTTGATCTCCAACTGCCACCTTCCACCACCCCAGGCAGCCACCCAGAGCACAGCAAGCCAAGCACACCCTGTTTTTAGCCCCCAGCCTTGGCCTCATACTGGACATGGCTTGTCTGTGTAGTGATGCAAAGCCATTGTACTTCTGAGCTGCAAGGTTAGTTGCTAAATAAAAAGCTCCCTGTTCAGGTTTCACACGAGTCATTATTAGACCCAATTAATTTTCTTCCATCTCACAATGGCAGGCTGTGAGATATGAGGTTATCATGTTACAAAGAACAATATCTCAATTGGATATCTGAGATGCCCCGTTGCTAAATATAAAACTGTTGGGGCCCTTTGTTTGGCATACATTCATTGAAGGTGGCATGCATACTCATTCTCTCAAGAGACACGTTTCACTGACATTGTGGTTTAGTTGAACTGTAGTATTTTGGTAGCCCTAAAATATGGTCTCACTTAAAAATGAAGAGTTTGACTAAAATGTGGTTGATTTTCAGGAATGGTACACTGTCTATGAGCTATATAGGCGAACTAACTGTGTGGTGGCTGACCTCATCATGGGGAATGAATACATCTTCCGTATCTATGCTGTGAACATGGTAGGCCTCAGCCTAGAGCCCTGCTTCTCAGCAGACAGCGCCTACATCCAGAAAACAGGTGGGCTCTCATACCTGGTGCACTGTTCATTACAGTAATACCACCCTGACATAATATCTATAAACAAACAAAAGTTATACATTTAACATGGTCATTGTGTATGTATGTAGGAGCGGAATTCACATGAAATAAAACGTTTTTTTAACATCCACTACTGCCACCTGTGTAAAACCGATAAACCTTCTGAACATAAGTTGAGCACTGCACCTGTCCATCCGTTCATCAGGTTTCGAATACAAGCCTCCAACCTACAAGGAGCATGACTTTTCCGAGGCGCCTAAGTTCACTCACCCTCTGGTGAGCCGCTCAGTCATAGCAGGCTACAACGCCACCCTCAGCTGCTCTGTCAGAGGCATCCCCAAGGTGAGGTGTCCCTATACAAGTGAGAATGACATAGATAAAGCCTATGCTACTAACCATGAATGATACAGTCACTGTTATCACCATCAGAATCACCATGAAATCAGCATGACCATTACATTATCATAATGTATGCTACTAGTGCTGTAGGGGAATGACAAGCATGTCCTGACCAGTAAAAGCTATGAGCCTTAGTTATAGCAGATAGACATTATTACTTCATTATTTTTGCCATAATGCATTGTTATAGGCAAATCTAGTTCACATTGTAACCTCTCTCTCTCAGCCCAAAGTGACATGGTACAAAAACAAGATGGACATCTCCAACGAGGCCAAGTACCGTATGTTTAGTAAGCAGGGCGTACTCACCCTGGAGATCCGCAAGCCCTGCTCATTTGACGGGGGAGTGTACATGTGCAAAGCAGTCAATGCCAGTGGAGAAGACGTAGTGGAGTGCAAGCTGGAGATTCGCCGTAAGTATCCCTAACACTACTCACTTTTTCTCTGCTGGTGAGCTCCTTAACACACCTGGCCTACACAGCTCTGCAAACCAACTGCCAAATCCATTGTCATTCTTGGTTTATTAGGTACATCACCCTGTTCACGAAAATGGTTAGCATCTACAGACAATGAATCATGAGGCCATGGCTTGCAATACAAAGCAGGTAGACAGGCATCAAGGCATCCAGTTACTGTTTGATTGAATGTAAGAATGGGCAAAATGAGTGACCTAAGTGTCTTTGAGCGTGATATGATCGTCGGTGCCAGGCGCGCCGGTTCTAGTATCTCAGAAACGGCCAGCCTCCTGGGCTTTTCACACACGACAGTGTCTAGGGTTTACCAAGAATAGTGCGACAAACAAGAAACATCCAGTCAGCGGCAGTCCTGTGGGTGAAAACAGCTCATTGATGAGAGGTCGAAAGGAGAATGGCAAGAATTGTGCAAGCTAACTGGCTGGTGGTGGTGGTGTACTGGTGTAGGGAACGTTTTCCTGGCACACGTTAGAGCCCTTGATACCAATTCAGCAATGTTTCCATATCCCAAAGAATTCAGGCAAAGGGGGGTCCGACCCGGTACAAGATGGGTGTACCTAATAAACTGGCCACTGAGTGTACATGGTGATTGTTACAGTTATGACCACCGTAAATAGGGATGTAATTGTCAAGGTTTCCAACTTCCGGTGTACTTCACTCTATTTCCTGTCTGGAACAGGTACCCTTAGTACACACGTGTCCATCAAATATGAAGTCATATATGAATGTCTGAAAATGTCATCATATATGAATGCTCCCCAACTCATATTTGAAACATGTTTTGGGGTTTCCTTATGAAATAATACATTTGGACATCAAATCTGAGATGGAAGAATTATACTTCTACGTGTCAAATGGCATGTACAAATCTAGAACATGTATCATGGGAATGATAGTATATTCTAGCAGGCAAATACAGTAAATCTATTCTTCCTATTTCAGATTTCATGTTAACATATACAGACATATCATTGTGTCTTCATAAGGGTACAGTTGAAGTCGGAAGTTTACATACACCTTAGCCAAATACATTTAAACTCAGTTTTTCACAATTCCTGACATTTAATCCTAGTAAAAATTCCCTGTCTTAGGTCAGTTAGGATCACCACTTTATTTTGAAGAATGTGAAATGTCAGAATAATAGTAGAGAGAATGATTTATTTCAGCTTTTATTTCTTTCATCACATTCCCAGTGGGTCAGAAGTTGACATACACTCAATTAGTATTTGGTAGCATTGCCTTTCAATTGTTTAACTTGGGTCAAACGTTTCGGGTAGCCTTCCACAAGCATCCCACAATAAGTTGGGTGAATTTTGGCCCATTCCTCCTGACAGAGCTGGTGTAACAGTCAGGTTTGTAGGCCTCCTTGCTCGCACACGCTTTTTCAGTTCTGCCCACAAATGTTCTATAGGATTGAGGTCAGGGCTTTGTGATGGCCACTCCAATACCTTGACTTTGTTGTCCTTAAGCCATTTTGCCACAACTTTGGAAGTATGCTTGGGGTCATTGTCCATTTGGAAGACCCATTTGCGACCAAGCTTTAACTTCCTGACTGATGTCTTGAGATGTTGCTTCAATATATCCACATAATTTTCCTTCCTCATGATACAATCTATTTTGTGAAGTTCACCAGTCTCTCCTGCAGCAAAGCACCCCCACAGCATGATGCTGCCACCCCCGTGCTTCACGGTTGGGATGGTGTTCTTCAGCTTGCAAGCCACCCCCTTTTTCCTCCAAACATAACGATGGTCATTATGGCCAAACAGTTCTATTTTTGTTTCATCAGACCAGAGGACATTTCTCCAAAAAGTATGATCTTTGTCCCCATGTGCAGTTGCAAACCGTAGTCTGGCTTTTTTATGGCGGTTTTGGAGCAGTGGCTTCTTCATTGCTGAGTGGCCTTTCAGGTAATGTTGATATAGGACTCGTTTACTGTGGATATAGATAGTTTTGTACCCGTTTCCTCCAGCATCTTCACAAGGTCCTTTGCTGTTGTTCTGGAATTGATTTGCACTTTTCGCACCAAAGTACGTTAATCTCTAGGAGACAGAACGCGTCTCCTTCCTGAGCGGTATGACGGCTGCGTGGTCCCATGGTGTTTATACTTGCGTACTATTGTTTGTAAGATGAACGTGGTACCTTCAGGCGTTTGGAAATTGCTCCCAAGGATGAACCAGACTTGTGGAGGTCTACCATTTTATTCTGAGGTCTTGGCTGGTTTCGTTTGATTTTCCCATGATGTCAAGCAAAGAGGCACTGGGTTTGAAGGTAGGCCTTGAAATACATCCACAGGTATACCTCCAATTGACTCAAATGATGTCAATTAGCCTTTCAGAAGCTTCTAAAGCCATGACATCATTTTCTGGAATTTTCCAAGCTGTGTAAAGGCACAGTCAACTTAGTGTATGTAAACGTCTGACCCACTGGAATTGTGATACAGTGAATTATAAGTGAAATAATCTGTCTGTAAACAATTGTTGGAAAAATTACTTGTGTCATGCACAAAGTAGATGTCCTAACCGACTTGCCAAAACTATAGTTTGTTAACAAGAAATTTGTGGAGTGGTTGAAAAATGAGTTTTAATGACTCCAACCTAAGTGTATGTAAACTTCCGACTTCAACTGTATATTAACTCCCTGACGGACCTTTGGAATGTACACTGGAATACATCTAAAGGTTCTAAATGGATCCTGCCACCATTACATGATCCATCTCCTGACGTGTCTCTCCTTCTGTCTGTAACCCCACCATGCTGTGTCCTGTCACGCTTCTACCCTTTTTATTCCCAGCACCTGGCACTTTCCCCCAAGGTAAGCCCCCACACTCAGTAATAACTGAGGTCAATCCCATTATTATAGAATTGTTTAATTTGTGTTAATTAGAGAATAATTAAAGGTGTGCCAAAATACTTAACCCTAATTGCTCCTGTAAGTTGCTCTGGATAAGAGTCTGCTAAATGACTAAAATGTAAATGTACTATACATTACTGTATGTAATCATGTGTATGGTCCATCTCACTTAATTTAACGGTACGAGAAGGTAAAATATGTTACAAAATATTGGATAATGTGAAAGGATGACACATTTTACCTCATCTATACACTCTAGATTTTTTGAAAAATCAATCTTGATATTAACAAATTGAACTGCAGATGTTATTCTAATCCCAATGTTATTGAAGTTACATAATCATTTCCTCAGTGGTAAGTATTCATCAAATGGCATGGATATTAATTATAGAATTTATATAGAAATAACATGTAAAAAGACAAGAATTAGATTTAATAAATTCTAAAATAGTGAAATTATTATCAGTCCTACATTGATCACCAACCATAGATATAGCATGTTTCATTTTAAATTGGAAATATGATTAACGACTTAGACTAATTGCCTTGCAGCTCAAATCACCAAAGAGGAGAGAGAGAAGCAGATGAACAAGGCCGATTAGATGTAAAGAAGCCGGTTGAAGATAGGGTGGATGTCCCATCTCATCCTACACAGACCTCTACTGGCACCCTGGCCAGACTACAGCTCAATGTGAAGAGACCAGAGATAATCCATTAGCTTTCATTTCCCTGTGTCCCACTTCCACCCCGTTATGTGCACGTCAATCATCCCCATTCCCTGTTGTGAAATCATCTTACATAAGTCATCAAGACATTACATTCATCCACATTGGTTTATTGTACCTTTATTTATTTCATATAATAATTTCAGGAGTAGCAGAGGACTGCATTGTTTGATTCACTCTGGCATCCTTTGTAGAAAAAGGTTTGAGTATTAGTGGCAATGAGTATTTGTTTTATGTCTGAAAAATAAATGCAAAGCTTTGTCATCGGGCAGTGGGCACCCCTTTTTTTCTCACTTATTCAAATGCAAGTCTATCCCAGGTTTCTAGGGTGCCCAATCATACTCATATTCCCAGCTGTAAACTGGTTATAATGCAAGTTAAGTATACCACTATCCCTGGTGTGGCCTGTTTGCTAGTGGGGCCTTATAAAACCCCACCATTGTTTAAAATGGGAAACAGACAGTGGACAGGGGTTAACTCTGAGATGAGTACACAGGTGTAGCAGCACTCGTATGCCTCATGCTGCCCTACCCACAGAACATGATCACTATGAGGTCAAAAAACAGTTGACGCTGTGACACTCAAATGCCAGTGGGAATGAACAAAAGCTGCAAGGTATTAACATAACAAAGCCTGACTAAGGCCAAAGAGGATACAGCAATGTGCTTAATGTTTGGCGCAGCGGGAGGTGTGAGGAGGGTTGGAATAGCTGGAATGTCCCATTCCCCCTGTGGCTGCATCGCTGGGAGGTTAAATGTTTGGTCAAGCCACGTCCATTGCCAAACAGGGTGTGAGAGGTAAGGCTGCTTCTGTTGGTTTCTGAGGTCCATTGCCAACTACCTACCTTCATTCACTAGCATACATTCACTAAACGTAAACACTTATTGTCAAACTTGGTGCAGATTTGACATGTCACATTCAAGACCATAGTTCCTGTGCACTTGTCCACGCTTCCACTTCCAGCAAGCATCCATCATGATGGCGTTACACCCCTTGTGAGGTTTAGATGTGTTAAAGGAACAGGGCCACCCAGTGTGAATCAGGTGACATGGACACCATCAACAGGGTTCTTTTTTTACCCATAATGCAGTCAAAACTCTCCACACATCAGCCAGAGGAGCCAATTCAGAGAGGTGCCAGTGCCCTGGTGCCCTCTGGGCCATTTCTAGCCCTGAAGATTTCAACAGCACCGGTGAGTCACACTATGGTCAGACAGAACCTAACACTGTAGGCAAAGAAAAACACTGACAGTCCTGACAAGGTCTAAATCAGGCCAACTCATCTGTGTGTCAAATAAATTACATGAATGAGTGAGAGTGTGGGTGTCTGAAATCTTGTACATAAAGCATCGTTTTTTTTTTTTTTAAGCAACTGGGTTTATATAGTTTGGTTTATAAAAATCACAGTATACAGTAAATACTATACATTCCTCCCACAATTGGCATTAACTAAAAGCGTGACTTAAAATTCAGTGACACTGTACAACCAGATGTATTTACAAACAAAGCCTACAGTTCAAACCAAAATAACAATAATAACAATATCAATAGCATAAGAACACACACCTTCTTACAAAGCACTGCTGGTAGCCACTAAAGTTGAAGAGGTAGCTTCCGTGGTTAGACAATGCATCCCATTCTTGATAATTGGTTTTTCTATCAAAAATAATTTACATATGGATAAACAGACAGCAATACACACCGATTTGGAATTTGCACGTACAGGCTTCAAACATCTCCAATACAATCTGAACAGTTGGTTGGGGTTAGAATTACACTCAGTCAACATGTTGAGAAATCCACACAAAACTAAGAAACCAATGAGCTTCATAATATGGACACATTAACTAAATGTTTAGGGCAGTCTAGTCTTCCCTACATTGCCTAAATTCCTGAGCACTCACATGAATTACACATGTGGATACAGGCTCCTAGGGTGTGGTGCTGGCCCCATATGGTAAGTCATACTCATGCACATCAAACAGTCACACCTGATGCAATAAAATGTTTCATAGTGAAACATTATCTACATTTATTGTTGTTATTATATCATAATATATACATTACACTGGTGAGATGTGGGATTGTGAGCGTCTTGATCATAACGACTGGGTTGTGAGCACCAATTATGTCCAATTTAAGAGAAAAAAAAGCGAGCTTTTACTACAATGCAATCTGTCTCAGAGAACAATCCAGAAATGAAGGCCTTTGTGTGGCATCAACATTCAGCTTGCACTTGGTACATGCTGCATTCACCTTTCAAAGACCAACTTCCTGACACCTGAAATAACCTTGTCCATGGCCCGGACATTCTGCTCCTCTTTAAGCAATAAATTAGAACGATCCGGGGGGAAAGGACAGTTCACCGAAATGATTTTCAGTCCAAGAGACAAAGCAAACAAGTCATAAAACTCTCCACAACTAGTGGGAAGACTGTTGTTAAAACAGTGCTCTCTTCCATTCCCACGTGACATTCAAGACTTTATCACTCATAGCGAGGAAGAATTGTTGACACTTATTGTCAAAGAGGATAAACATTTAAGTTATTGTCTTGTACTACAGGGCATATGAACATACATGAACAGATTCAGACTGGAGATTCAGTTGCCTCATATTGGGAGGGCTGCAAATGCAGCTTTCGAATTATATTTAACACATTGTCAGTACCCCTTAATTTAAAACCGCTGCCATACAATTCTCCTTTCAGTTACTTTACATTCTCATATAGAAATTATGGCAAGGCTTTAAAATCGAAAGACCAGGGAATGACAACATATCACACAAAAGAACCATATAGCTAGCTACAGGTAGAACCCACAAAAGGATGGCACATAGATCCTTGCCTTAGCAAGAGACGTGACAGATGAATTCAGGCTTGTAACATCTTGATAATGAGTTCGCTCTAAACCAAGAAGCAGGCACAGGTGGCAAGGTTTCCTCTTTTGTTACATATTTGACAGCCAGTTTGGTGTTATCACACACAGGAATCAGTTCAAAATCCTGAAGGGCAAAACAAGTGTTGGCCAAAAGTCTCTGGGCTCAAAGAAGTCTAATTCAATGGCAGATTCACTTTTGTGATGTTTGAGTCTGTTTCACACAGTGATTAAAGAAGTGCTTCCTGAATGATTTGTGTGCAGGGACCCTGCACATGTTTTGTTGTGTATCAAAAACAGTTTGTTTTTGTTATAGTGTCCAACCCACACACACAAACAAACACAGATGCACACACACACAGCTGTAGAGTTTCTCAGTCTTTGATGCGAGGTATGTTGTATGCGTAGTGGACCAGAGGGAGCCCTCGGCTCTGGCAGAAGCAGGCTCGTCCACAGGCCTGCACCTGGTCTGAACTGTCGGACACAAACGAGTCCCCCTCGTCAGCGTACTCTGACTGGGCTGAGGGCGTGCCGCTGTCTTCCCAGTAGCCCTCCGTACGCTGGCACGCTGCTGCACCAGCCGAGAGGGTTGGGCAGCTGTGGGACTTCACCAAGTGTCTGCAGACTGATGATGATGAGGAGGAAGAGGTCCTGGCATGTAGAGCCGCCTCGCAGCGCTCACACACGCCTGTTTCCCCACAAAGCTGGGAGTACACCCCACAGTCATAGCCCAGCCTTGTAGAGGAGTCCCTGTCCACAGCCCCAGAGCCCCCTGCACACTGACCAGCCTTCACCCCCCGGGCCACAGCTCCATGGCCCCGCAGCCGCAGCCAGTCCTCCCGGAAGGCGGGGCTGAAGAACACGTAGAGCACGGGGTTAAGGCATGCCGGCAAGGGGGAAGAAGATGAGCGTAACGGACTTGGCGATCTCAGGGCCCCCCGCGGTGCCAGACCTGGCCAGCAGAGGGGCGAAGGAGAAGGCTGCCACAGGGCAGAAGAAGATGCAGTTGGTAAATATGAGCCATGCCACGTGGCGTACGGCCCCTGCCTGCTCCTGGTCTGCCAGTTCCGCCCTGCCCAAGACACAGTACAGCTGGGTGTACACTGCTGCTGTGAACAGGTAGGCCAGGGCATTGAGCAACACCAGGGCCACAGTGACCCCCAGCGCAGGGCCCTCACCGCCAGAGAAGGGTAAACAGAGAGGGGAGGCTGAAGGGTCGCTGGTACTGAAGAGGGGCAGGCAGGCTGCTGCAGCCGCCAGGAGCCCCAGGAGAGCAGCTGCCAGGGCGAAGCGTCTTTCCCAGACCCCCCTCTCGCTGCTCCTCCTGGGCGAGATGACCTTCCCCAGGAGCCCCCTCACCGCCACGCTGCGCTCCACAGCCGCCAGGGGCAACAGCAGCACCGCCCACTCTGAGGAGAACACCGCCAGGGCCCCTGTCGCCCAGCAGCCCACCCCCGTCTCCCACCAGACCCCAAACTCAGCGAAGGAGCCCCAGGTGGCAGCATCCAGGACAGTGAGCACCCCCACATAGACCCCAGTGAGCAGGTTGGTGAGGGCCAGGAGGCCAACCAGCAGTCTGGCAGGGGAGAGGGCCGAGGCCCGGCGGGAGAAGGTGGCTGCCAGCACCAGGGTGTTGAAGATCAGAGCCACCAGGCAGATGAACCACACGGTCAGACGGATCATCCAGCTGCCCAGGAGGTGCTCACAGGGCTTGAAGGCTCCTGGAGGGGAGAAACAGAGTCAGCCTTCAGTTAGTAAGAGGTGTGATAATGTACACAATTCAATGCTGTAGATGACAATAAAGTGACTGTGGTTTACCTGGCGAGGGAGAGCAGTGCATTACCATTGATATCCTCTCCACTTCTTCTCCACCTGGAACACAAAGATTTCAATATACTTTTTATCCCTCCTCTGAACAACACATTTTGACATCAGGAGTGGTCTAATGATATGTTTTCACCTGTAACCTTCTTGATGTCCTCCTCATCAGTGGAAGTTGTTGAAGAATCACATCCCACAAATGCACAGCACTGGTAAGCATAGGGAACTGATACTGACCTGTAGACCACAATAGGACCATTATCATTCAAAGTGTTGCGTGACCCCAACCTCACAATTGGACTTAAGTTTAGTTATTGTAAGTGAATTGGGTTTGGCCCTACAGTAAGTTCACATCTAGTTCAGGAAAGAGTGAGGTCATTTGGATGAATTACTTGGATTCTGACCTGAGTTTGGGGAGGCTCTTTGCAGTAAAAACATTTTTAATCTGCAGGTTTCCTGTGAGTTTCAGTTGGTTCAGGGAACTCAGTCCAGTTGTTGGAATGCTGGTCAGCGAGTTTAAACTCAGGTCTCTGAAACCAAACAATACATATTAGCATAAATTCCTGGAACACACTAGCATATGTACACAGATATGTTTAAACAGTAATGTATTTGTTATCATGACTTCACAGATTTCGTTTTTACCACAGTACAGTGTCATACTCACAGGTTTGTTAGCGCCGTCAAATAGAGAAAAGCATCTCTGTGGATGGTTTTCATTTCATTTCTACTCAGGTCCCTACAGGAAAGAAATGACTTAATGATGTGTTCATTAAGAATCAGGGCAGCAAATTAAGCATGCTTTTTTAAAATTAGCCACTGGCATGAGCTAGTGAAAGCAGAACTGAGTTAATTTCCAATGAGATCTACTTAGGCCCTTCACCTTTAAGCCTCAAGGTACTATAGGCTGCAAGTGTGTGTGTGTGTGTGTGTGTGTGTCTGTTTGTACAAGACTGTGTGTGTGTGTGTGTGTGTGTGTGTGTGTGTGTGTGTGTGTGTGTGTGTGTGTGTACTCACAGCAAGCGCAGGGCAGACAGACCCTGGAAGGTGTCCCTGTCGATTTGCTGGATGTGGTTGTGCTGCAGGCTTCTATAATTAGGACAGAACACACAATATACACTCAGAAAAAGGTAGAAGATGGGGGTCATCTTGAGTGTAATGTTAAAAAATGTGTTTGTGCTCTTGCTCATATTCCCAACAATATACCATACTCACATTTCCTGCAGCTTTAGACAGCCCTGGAAGGAAGGCAGCTCCTCAATCTCATTGTAGGACAGGTCTCTGATGAAGCAAAAGGATTAAATAATGTAATCTGGAATGTCACCGGCATTTATGTGAAATAGATTAATAAGGTAGGATAAGGGTGAGAGGTGAGGTTGGGGATACTTACAGAGTCCACAGCACCTTGAGATCCTCACAGAGCTCAACCGGTATGGCAGCAATCTTTGTGCCTGTCAAAGTGCTGAGAAAGAAACTCTGAGTCAATTACCACTGACAAACTGTCTCACTTGACCTCAAACTAGGCAGAACAAAAAAACGAATTCACTCACAATATATCTAACATGAACACATTCATTATAACATTGTCAGTCAGTGTCAGTTGTGTATGTTGATGTAAAGAGTCTGCTGTATTGTGCACTCACAGACTCTCCAGGTTGTTAGTCCCAGTGAGACAGGGAAACTCCTGCATCATACTGGCTCCACGTAGCATCCTGAAACACATACCTCACAGGGTTAGAATGCAAACAGGCATGCCAGACCAGAGACTGTAACTTTAGTCTGAATAACTGTCCACTCCTAACATTAGATCATGGTATGAAATAAGCACCTGAGCACCAGCGATATTCAGTGTATGGTATCACATGGTGATTTCATACACTGTTATTGTAAATCAGTCAATTCAGAGATCATTACCACACTATGAATACAATGTTCAGAGTACCAGACTTGGTTTTCTAACAGATATGGACAGGGACTTACAGGGAGTGCAGGTCAGACAGGTTCTGGAAGGCTGAAGTTCCCACAAAGGACAGGGGGTTGTCATACAGGTGGCTGGGGAAGATAAGCGAAGAGGACTCTGATAGTAAACTCATTTACTATGCGAGAATGGCACCATCTTCTGGACAAGTTTCTTCTAGGGCCCATGGTCAGTCACTATATTACCAGCTTGGTGCTGTCAGTCAATCACTATATTACCAGCTTGGTGCTGTCAGTCAGTCACTATATTACCAGCTTGGTGCTGTCAGTCAGTCACTATATTACCAGCTTGGTGCTGTCAGTCAGTCACTATATTACCAGCTTGGTGCTGTCAGTCAATCACTATATTACCAGCTTGGTGCTGTCAGTCAGTCACTATATTACCAGCTGGGTGCTGTCAGTCAGTCAGTTATGTGTGTAAATATGATCAACTGTACATACTAGTAGTGTTTCCCAAGTCCTGGACTAACCCCAACAGTACACATTTTTTGTAGCCCCGGACAAGCAGACCTGATTCAACTGGTCAACTAATCATCAAGCACTCAATGAGTTGAATCAGGTGAGTTTGTCTGGCGCTACAACAAAAATGTGTGCTGTTGGGGGTACTGGAGGACTGGAGTTGGGGAACACTGTGCTAGTACATGAACATGTGAAGGCTTAAGGTTCTATTCAATAGTATTTGTTGACAGTAGGACTGGTTTTGAAGTATGGCCTTACATGGTGCGGAGCAAAGGGTTCCTGTGGAAGGCTCCCTCAGGTATGGCTGCTATGTCATTGCTGTGAAATCCACTGGAGGAAAATGAAAACATACACAGTGAAACAATTATTCTAACCACACTGTTTGAATACACATATTTGGGATGAAGGTGGAATATTAAATGTGCAATAATACAGTTGCAACAGCTGAACGAGAACAAGATACAAATTGTGATTAGGAAAACAGATGGGTCCAAATTAAGTAAACTGTTATAGTTGCCAATATGTAAATGACCACTAATTCTGTATGCATGTTCTGCTATAGCTTCCTGATTTCTGTACTTAATGTGGCTAATTCCAGTTTTCACCATTATATGGCTTCTTTCAATCTAGTGCATGTCAGTTATTTGATTGAAGGTTTTAATGCTAATGAATCTATACTGCTGTATAAAGGTCATAAAACATGGTAAATTCCATATCTGTTCATTATTGTTTTTCCATCAGAAATATGAAAGAACACCATCTGGAGAACAGTTGTTACTGTCCACATCAAACGTTGTGAAGTCATGATCTATTGTTCAAGACAAAGCCCAGGTAATGTACCTAAGGTGCCTGCATCTTTTATCTAGTAGACATGTCCCTTAGATCCATCAAAAGTTCAAGGGATCAAGAAACCATTGTACAGGAACATTAAGAGAGCCTCTCTCTTTACTACACCCCTGACAGACAGGAGAGGAGCGCAACAAAAGAAAGGAAAGGAAAACAGATAGAGGAGTGTATTCTTGGGGCCACTATTCAGACCCCGTCATTAATCTCTCAGCTCCCCCTGCCAAGGTTCACAGTTCCACTGAGACACATCAACAGCTCACATTTCTACAGAAACACTGCAGCCTGCACGCAACTACAGTTACACTGGAGAAAAGACTAGGGGTCTCCTCTTTTTTCAGAAAAGGATATCACCTCTAGGCCACATGCCACTTCCTGACTAAACAACCTAATCACTCAAAGTTGACGTTTCAGATTCAAAATAATCTCACAAAGGGAATCTGTGTACGCATGTGCATCCCTGTGTGTGTGTGTCGGTGTCGGTTTGTGTGTGTGTGTGTGTGTGCTTCCATTTGTGACTGTGTGCGTGCATGCGTTTGTCATGGGACAGTACTCACAGCTCCTTCAGTTTGGGCAGAGCCTGGATTGCTTCTGGGAAGGTCATCAGGTTGTTGAAGTTAAGATCCCTGAGGGGCCAAAAGGAGCAGGGAGTTCCATAATCATTACACCACACACCACAGCACACTCAATCATACTGTAACCATTCACTAGCAGTGCTGTGCAAACATATGGTCACCTTAATGATACTAAAATATTGATCTTCCAGCTTCACGCACTACACTAGAAAACATTATCTTGAAGGGATATCCAGTGTTCACGAATAGCCAAGTGTACTGTAGTTCCCATGACAGACAGGAGTGGTCACATATAAGGTAGGCTCCTTTAGTAGGTCGGACAATTCTCTTTATGCTTTATCAGTGTCAATGTTGTGAGTGAGTGTGACACTGCAAAAATGATTGTAACAGCCATGGTACGTTTAATATGGCTGCTGTTAAACCATAGGTCAGAATGTCTCGGTCCTCTCCGGACTAAAGATGTTGTGTCACTGTTCAGGCTGGTGACGCAGGAGGAAGCGAACAATGGGAGGGTAGTGCAGATAGCCATCATGGACTCCGCTCCATTTATCCTGGAGCAATTACAGGAGGAAGTGGACACACTGACGTCCCGGCCGCTCTGGGTGTGGGTGGCTCACACACACACACTTTTAATGAGTTTGTATTCAAATGTACTTACAGCGTCTCTAGGTTCTCCAGCCCCGTGAAGCAGCTCTCCCCAATCTCCTTAATTCTGTTATTATGCAGATGTCTGGAAGATAAAGGATATATTTATATTCCATTCCCGGCTCAAAATAGACTTCACTGTTGCAGACGAGCCAAAACGGACATTGAACAACAGAAGGAACATGTATAGGATATCTAGTCTACGTGATTGAACATGCAGAGAGGTTTCATAGGGTTCCGTCTGGGTTTTTAAGCAGGATATAATATAGCTATTCTGAGTGACATACAACACACATAAAACAAAATGCTCAATCCGCCACATGGCATCCCATCCTTTGTGGATGAACAATGCAGCACTTTTCACATCTCCCACACTCCCTGCCTGATAGTAAGACCCAATTCAATCTATTCATAAGGTAAAAGGTAAATGTCCTCTGCAGCTATCACCAGAGATCACAGTGATTGGTAAGTCAGGTATCAGTGTGAGTGCTGGTGTGTCGAAGTCTGATGGATTCAAGGTATTTTCTTCCTGTTTATTCTTGTCAGCCACTAGGGACACAGCTATGTCCCTTTTCCCTCCAACTGGGCCCTGCAGCAATAGCATTTTTCTTGTGAGTGTGTGTGTGTGTGTGTGTGTGTGTGTGTGTGTGTGTGTGTGTGCGTGCAAGTGAGTGCATTTGTGTTTGTAGGGGCATTCCACAGTAAGTGATGGCTTCATACAGTATGTTGATATATTTAACTGAGAATTTCATTTGACTTGGAGTGGAATGAATTTGAACATCTGCAATGTTTGAATGGTAGAGAAGTGTAATCTGATGATTTGCTCCTTTAACACTTTGTTTAAAAACATTAAAATAATCTTACATGTAACTGTCTTTCATAATAAAATAGAGATAGTTCTATTACCCATGATTCTACATGTTCTTCTTCCAATTGCTACCACACAGATGTAAATCTCCACCAAAAATAGCAAATATTGGTCCTACATCTGAATCTACAGTATATTATCAATGAGTTGAAACCCCCCAAACTCTCCCCTAAGGGAGGGAGCACAGAACAGATCCTCCGTTTTGACTTGAATAGATCAGACATGGGTTTCAAATACTATCTTGAGTTTACTGAGCTTGCCTGGCACTGTCACATCCTGATCGGTTTCACCTGTCTTTGTGCTTGTCTCCACCCCCCTCCAGGTGTCGCCCATCTTCCCCATGATCCCCTGTGCATTTATACCTGTGTTCTGTTTGTCTGTTGCCAGTTCGTCTTGTCAGGTCTTACCAGCGTGCTTTCCCGTTTTCTTGTTTCTCAAGTGTTTATTTCCTAGTTTCCCCGGTTCGGACCATTCTGCCTGCCCTGACCCCGAGCCTGCCTGCCGTCCTGTACCTGGCAGACTCTGACCTGATTACGAACCTCTGCCTGCCCTCGACCTGCCCTTTGCCTGCCCCGTGTTCTAATAAATTATTATTGAGAACTGTACTAACCGCCTCCTGTGTCTGCATCTGGGTCATATCCTGAGTCGTGATAGGCACAATGGAACCAATAGAATAATCACAAGGAGTCCAAACCCTGTCCATCTTGCACTCCAGGCAGACTGGAGCAAACACTAAAAGTATTTGAAAGATTTTAAATAGTATTTCAGCCCAGGTCTGGAATAGATAGATCTGCAGCACTCACAGCACCACCAGACTGGAGAGGTTGGCAAAGGCATTGTTGGGGATGTGGGTGATGCGGTTGAGTGCCAGGGTGAGAGCCTGCAGGTTAGCCTGGTGTCTCATGGGGCCCACTGGGACCTCCGTCAGGCTGTTGTCATCCAGCCAGAGGTGGCGGAGCTGCTGCAGGCCCTCAAAGCTATCCTCAGGCACCGTTGTGATGTGGTTGGCATCCAGACGTCTGCAGAGGGAGGGGGGGAAATAGATTTTAGAAACCTTTATCTTACTAGTTATGTCACAGCAATGTGTGAATCCTGTCATACATTCACCACCATTAACATTCTCACGTTGAGGGCATTTCATATTGAAACAGCACATAACATAGAGAGAGAAAGAGAGAGAGAGAGCATGAAGGGCCAAGTAAGGAATGGTATTTATGAGGTATTTCTATTGCCTCAGTAGAAAAACATTACACTATGGTCTTCCATTTTTAAACAGCTTTCCATTTCCCTTACTCTTATCAACCACAAATATTTGAATGACCCATTGGATAGCCTACTGCATTATAATGTATGTATAGTATGGTGTTACTATACAAATTGGAATTTCATTATTCTTCTAAATATTCTGTATTTACTTCTAACTATTTAGACTGTTCTGGTGAGGACTACAATAAAATGTTTTAAATAGCTTTGTTTGACAATCAAGGTTTCTACTAAATCTTAACCTTTCTAGTTTTGTATTTGGCTGCTGCTGCACATTCTGTTCATCATTCATGAAACATGCTCCTTAATGCTGGTATCACAACGTTCGCGCTCTTCCTCAACAAAAGCTCTATCCCTTTGTAATTCCGCTCTTCCCTTCACAGCCTAGCTGGGTTTCACTCTCCTCTCCCCTCTCCCTCTTTCTCTCCACCTCCATGACTCCATTTCTCTCTCTCCCCCTCTAAATTCCCTACGAGTCTGTGTTGGAAGCAGAAAGGCACGATGATTGACATCTAACTCTCAAAGGCATTATAGAAACCCAGCTAGGCTCTGCCAAAACATATTACTTCAGCTACAGACCTTAACCCCTAAGAGAGAAAAGACTTCTGCAAAAAAAGAGAAGGACAAAAGAGGCAAATCATGGGACTGAGGGAAAGGATCTGGAGAGGTGATAATGGCAGAAAGCTGGATTTTCAGCACGTCCCAGACCAGGCTTCCAGCTGGATCTCATCCTACACTATTCACAGTCAGAGTCAAAGAGGCACGGGGAAACAAAGATGGAGTAATGCTCAGTCATAGTCCCTCAGAGAGTGACATGCAGTAGTCACAGAGAGTCACTAAGTCAAAGAAAAGAGACGCTGGGGAGCTGGGGATTTGGAAACCAGTGCATGGCTCTACACTGACCTTTACAAGGAGCACGTGTGCGCCTAAGTTGAAAAATGTAGGAGCACACAAAGACATATAGGAGCACAATGAAAAATATTTGAGTTATTAAAGCTAGAATCCTTAATTTTTCTAGGCACACTGGTGTTCCTAAATAAAAATTCCAGGTCGCATAGCAAAATATTCAAAATTGGTCGCACTGTAGAGCCCTGCAGTGTCTAGGAAGCATAACAACCCACACACATCCCTTTCAAACCCATACAGGCAAAAACCAACCACATAAATAAATCCAGGATGTCTAACTGTTGGTGAATGCAACGTGGTGGGGGGTAGAGACAGCATGTTAACCAGATGGTTATGTGTGAGCTGTGTGAAGGTTAGTGCAATGATGCAGACCAGTCTAGAGGAAGCTATTAGTTCAATTGGATTGTAGAGTGAATGCTTCCCATTGTAATTGTCATGATTATGCTTACGATGTCCATTTGAGGAGTTTTGCCATTTCAAGTCTCTAAAAGGTGTGTGTGTGTGCACAGTCGTGTAATTCCAGATGGATGAAGAGATAGGGGGACTCACAGAGACTGTAGAGAGTAGAGGTTCTTTAGAGCTGTACTTGGAACAGTCTTCAGCTGGTTATTCTGCAACATCCTGAGGGAGAGAACACCGTTTTATAACCTGAACTGTGGTCGCACCAACATGCCTCCTCATTACAATTTCTGCACAACCAGCAGTCATGTGGTGCATACGAGAATGAGAAGATCAGCTCTGTATTGAGTTAAAGTGTGAACACAGTATGAAAATGTATGCACTCACTACTGCAAATCGCTCTGGATTAAAGCGTATGCTAAATGACTAAAATGTAAATTGAAAACGAACACAAAAGCATCACAAAGTGTTGCAGCCTCTCAACCTCTTATCTCTGTAAAGGGTCAACGTCATTGACTCTAACTAGCACCTCAGGCTTTGTTGCATAAGCTTGTGTATGGGTTCGGAGTGAGGTAGTGTGTACAGCATGTATTAGAGTATAATTGACTGTGGGGAGGATGTGTGTGTCTGAGCACAGACGTTTGTTTCTGCATGCATATCCCATATGAAAAAATACTATAGTGTATACTATGGTAGGAATACTATAGTATTCACAGTGGACTTTACTCACTTACAGTTTACTATAGTATAAATACTATAGTAAAAAAAAAAGTATATTCTATAGTAATTACTGTAGCTTTTTTGCGGACTGTAGTATACTGTAGTATCTACTGTAGTATTTTTGCGGACATTACTGTGGTATTTACTAAAGTTATTTTATTGTCTATGACATAGAAGTGGGGGGCTTTCTCTTTGACTAAACCTACTGGAGAAATACTAAAAGACCACATTTTCCATAACCTGTAGGTAGGTAGGACTGGGGTCTGAACGGAAAGTTCAGAGCTTCTCCTCTTTTCTATAACCATAGGGAACGCAATACACTTAGTGTATAAAACATTAAGAACACCTTCCTAATATTGAGTTGCACCCCATTTTGCCCTCAGAACAGACTCAATTTGTCGAGGCATGAACTCTACAAGGTGTTGAAAGCATTCCACAGGGATGCTGACGCCAATGCTTCCCACAGTTGTGTCAAGTTGGCTGGATGTCCTTTGAGCGGTGGACCATTCTTGATACACACGGGAAACTGTTGAGCTTGAAAAACCCAGCAGCGTTGCAGTTCTTGACACACCCAAACCGGTGTGCCTGGCACCTCCTACCATTAAATATTTTGTCTTTCCCATTCATCCACTGAATGGCACACATACACAATCCATGTCTCAATTGTCTCAAGGCTTGAAAATCCTTATTTAACCTGTCTCCCCTCTCCTTCATCTACACTGATTGAAGTGGATTTAACAAGTGACATCTATAAGGGATGATAGCTTTTACCTGGATTTACCTGGTCAGTTTATGTCAAGGAAATGTTTTGTCCACTCAGTGTATATGGTCTATACTTGGCATGTATGTTTCTCACTTACAGGTGGCACAAATTGCAGAATGTTGTGTTTTTGCTGATATTTCTGCAGTACTTACTACTGTGTTTTTTGTGGATAATACTGTTGTATTTACTATAGTATTCTACAGTATACTACAAAAGTACATACTACTAGTACTACACATGATCGAGGGATACTACAGTTTGTAGTATAGTATTCGACACTATACTATAGAATTATATAGTAGGTACTGTAGTATTCTATAGTAAAGTGTAGTATTCTTCTTATGTGGGACGTGAGTACTTGACCATGTAGTGAAGAGCGTTAGTATCTGTCTGTGGATCCTAGTCTCTACTGGACACAGATGTGGTTATGGTGACTATCTCCCTTCCTCTCCACTATCAGTAGTCTCTGTCGTCAAAGCAGGCTAGGGCCCAGGGGAACAGGCCCTCTGGTTTCCTGCCTCCACTCACACACACACGTCATATGGCCACCGCTCGTTGGGAAGGAAGTGAACACCTCTGTTTTATTTCATTCACCTGTATTTCATTCACCAGTTTTATTTACAGGTGTGTGTGTGTGTGTGAATGTCTGTGTGTTTGCTTTTGTGTGGGTTGTGCCCGAGCACACACCAGTATTGGACTTTGAACCCTTGGCTCAATGTACTGTCACAGAACATACAGGTATTATATGAGTGTTTGTCTGTGTGTGCGTGTTGTAAGTGTGTGTGTAGGACCAATGAGTGGCATACTTACAGGACTTTGAGCTGATGCAGTCCAGACAGAGCGTCAGGGTGGATGAATGAGAGGTCATTTCCTGCCAGTCGTCTGAGGTAGAGAGAGAGAGGAAGAGAAAGAAAGAGAGAAAGAGAGGGGAAGAGAAAAATATGGTGATAAATTTCTATTTGCATCGAAAGCTAAACAATGATTCATACAGTAATCTATATGTTGTTGATACAACTTTCAAAGCAGTCAATTTAACAGCTTCACTTTGAAATGTTAATACATACAAGATTGAAAGTCATCAACCAAAAAAACTAATGAAAACACCTCACAGGCTCCAGTTTGTGTTATCAAGCATAGCATAACATAACATAACGCCTGGGGTGCCAGAGCGACCTGTCAGTGCGACGGCATGTTGTCACTTCACCAGATACTCTGGGAAGAGAGTGGCCGCATAAGGACTGGACCTGGGTTTCCCCTCCTGGGCCTGGTCTACCTCCCCTTCCCTTCCAGCCAGGATATCAGGAGGAACTGGACGTGTGAATAATCATGTGGGGGCGGAATGTCAGGGACTCATAGCTCCACCAAATCTGGCCTGGGAGATTAGCACCAGATTGATCACCCTCTGCAACTTGAGTCGGGTGGCGTTAGATTATCCTGCAGCCAATAGCTGCTGGGAGTGAGCCTGAGAGCCTGGGGAATCTGAGTAACAACTCCCACCATGCCCGAATACAACCCTACAACGCACCCCCTTACTGGGGCCTACTGGGGGACACACTTCCAGGGATGTCGAACACTGTTGGTCCATCATATGACAACCAGACAGCATCATATGACAGGGTCTCTAGTCTAAACACACAAACACTAGTGGCAGACTTCCACTGTGATCCAATGGCAGACCATGTTTACAATAACATATTTGTTGTGGGTGACAAACATGGTTAGGATTTGGAAGGCTATATAATGGTTCATGCGCTCCAACTTGACTTGGCTCTGGCTCAAACCAAATGATTGCCTTCCAGTGGTGGATTCCACAGGACACACTTCACCATCAAACAACCAAATCAATTCTCATGTGTCTTTGTCAACTATTCATTGACTGAATTGTTGCCTTTTGACAGCATTTTCATTATTTCCCAGCAGTAATTGAACTCTTGAAGCACTTGTAGTCAAAAGGGCCAGTTTCATGCACATAAATCAAGCCTACTCCTTGACTCTATTGCACTAAATTGTCTGCAATTGCAATCCCAACTACTGACAATTATTTAGCAAAAACAAGTTTAAACAATCTTGGTTTACAACATTTGTAAGATAATCGAGAAAATGAAAACAAAATGAATTAGGCCTAATTTGACTAAATGCACCCAATGCTTTATATGAATCTAGGACTCCAATAATACAGCTTCAAGTTTGAAAGCAGAGTAGGATTTATGTGCAAATTGTATGTGGTTAGTGTGTCTGCCAGATTTATAAGGTACTGTAAACTTTACGTCCACAGCCTTGGAGCTGGTCAACGCCCACATGTCTACGGCCCAGCCACCACACGCAGGCCTGCTAACAAATTGCCAAGACATCCTTCACGTTTCAGGGTGAAGAACCTCCCCACCCATTCCCTTTCTCTCAACAAATTCAGAACACGTCCCTCTAGGCTTTGATGAGGGCAGAAGAATGTGCTAAGCCTTGTCGAGGAAAGACTAAATCCTCCCCTTCTGTAGCACCACTCCCACAGCCATTCTATTTCACTAATACATTCACTGGTAGACAACATAGACGTTTACAACATCAGAAAGTAAAGAGATTAGGGACACACGCTCATGGAGACAAATGTGTGCAGACACACAGACACATACACACGTGCACACACAACCTTAAGCACACTAAACACAAATTGAGGGGGACGACTCCCCTACATCTCTTGATCTGTCAGCATGGTGGCTAGGCTGTGTTGTGCTTTGTTCAGGATGGGAGGTGTGTGCGAAGGAGGGTTGCGTGACTATCAGAGAGGGAATGTTCCTTTCTGGGCATGTCCCCTTAGTGCTCAGGTGGCTGGGTTCGCACACACACGGCTAGAGCCATCGCTCAGTCACTCAATAACTGATTGTTCAAGGATAGGCAACAACACAAATAAACTCTAGAACTGCAACAAACAGGTCGAACACATCACGTAGGCCCAGTGTGTGTGGTGGCGTATCCGATTCAGTTCTGTACCTACGGGGTATTCGTATTACTGGCAGTCACCAAGGGGCGCTATTCAAACGAAACAAAAACTTTGTTTAGTTTTTTTGGGCACAGAACAATTAGGCAAAAAGGATCTGATCAGGAGGATTGAATGTTGCTGAACCAAGAGCTGATTGACATAGCACTAGCTGTAAGAGCAAACAGATGATTGGAGCCTCACGAATATAATTTACACGTCTTAGATTTCTTAGTGTTAACTACAAAGTTAAAGGGTGGTGGTAGCCGCACCTTTTAAAACAGTATTGAAAATCATACCGTCAGTATTTCGAAATATACCGTACCCCGGGGAATCTCCCAAGCCTACTGCTCAGCTCCAGAGCAGGATGGAACCCAGAGAACAGGTTTCACTATGTATATATGACACTGGGCAGAGACCCCTGCCCCTGCCTGAAAGGTAATGTTGAGTGGTAGAGTGCAGCGAGGGTGCGTTTTTAGCCTGGTTGTCATGGAAACCATTGTTTTGCCTTCTTCCTTCCTGCCTTGCATTCCTCCACTTACAATGCGATGAAAAGTAAATTGCCCTTTGACAAAACAGATGAAGTAGGCCTAGTGTTTGGAAAAGAAGAGAGCGAAGACTGGTTCGAGATGAAAGACACACAGGCTAAAATAACATGGATACAAAAGCAGCACTGGGAGCAGAATAGTGTTAGCTGGTCATTTTGCATTCTCAGGGTTGCATGTTACCTGATATCAGGTAGACAGATCTTATCTTTACTTCCAGCTCTGAACCAGACAGAGGGGTATTTAAAGAGTAAAGAGATGACAAACACACGCTAAGATTAGATATGCTCATTGAATGGGTCCCAGAACTGAGACATGCAGTTGCCATCCTGTTAATTCTCAAATAAAATACAAAGAAAGAACGTGATGCATCTCACATAGATTTTCTCTAGAATCATACATAGCCTATAGTCATGGTACTTTTCGCCCTTTGTGAAAACACTGCAACTTAGCCGACTCTACAATGGCATGACTCTTTGGTGTAAAATAAACTACAGGGTTCTTTATATCTTGTTGATCAAACACATAATACAACTGGTCTGTTGTGGTTGAAAACCACTGATTATCATATGCATGTGACAAAAACTGTATTGGGTAATGTACAAGAAAAGATGAATACTCACAGTTCTTCTAGATAGGGGAAGTTCTTGAAGACGAATGCCGGGAGCTCTGTGATGTTATTCATGCTGATGTCACTGTGGAACCAACAACAAGTGTCATGAGTGGATCAGTATTTCTCTCAGGTTAGAAACAGAACACGGCCCTGATTCCAATTCAAATCTCAAACAATCAAGCTGGACTTATACTCCTAAAGACGCAACAACAGAGAATTGCAGAAATAGTACATAATGTATGGTAGTGGGTAACAAATTAATCTTTTTGGAGGCATAACTAGTAAGTAATTGCTCGGAAGCATGCTTTCAACACTGTTACATTGGTTTTCCTGTAGATTGGTAGAGGGAAAGTACTGTCATCTTCCCAAGGAGCATAATGATTCATTTGGGCCAAAACAGGTCCCCAGCAGTACTGTAAAACCTTGAAGAAACCCTACTCATATGGCCCAAGGGACGTTCGCTTTTCCAACTCACTGCAGGGAAAGACAGGCATGTAGCAGCACGACAACTATGCAGACAACACTCACGTTTCTTCCCCACCTGACTAATTCAGTATGTGACTTAGATATGTAATACATAGAGAGTAACCATGGGCAAAAATTGTCATCGAATCCAACTGAAGTTCTTGGAATTGATGAGAGATTGTTATATAGGCAGGTTTAGTAAAGATCGTAAACTGATTTTAGAAGGATCCTAAAGCAGTCTACAGATTAGTGCACATCCTACAAAAATGACACAGGCTATAGTATAAAAAGACTGCAAAAATGGTATGACACCATAGCCATTCCCTTGTGTTCCACAACTCAACAGAGAGTAGCTTTTAACTTAGGAATCCATTCATTGGTTTTCAAAGAGGAGCCCATAGACACCAGATGTTAGAGTTGAAGTACAACACGGGGGGCCAGTATGAAAAATAAAAAATAATGTATGCACTCTCTAACTGTAAGTCGCTCTGGATAAGAGCGTCTGCTAAATGACTAAAATGTAAAATGTAACAGGACTGAAAAAACATCCTGCATTTGTTAATGAAGCGAAACCCCCCCCAAAAAATTGTCCATCTTGAATTTCACTACCAGGCCTCCCCAAAGTTTTGCATGTGTGTGCATGTAGGACTTTGGATCCTTAAAGGATAATATCGCCCGCCACACTCCCACCCCCCACGTTTCAAGCTACAAAGGCCCCCAACAGAAGCCCTCATCGTCCCTGCCATCTCTCTTTCCCATCTCTAGGTTACCTAGCTTATCCAATTGCCTTCTAGGCTCTGTACAATGGAGCTTCCACCTTGATCCCCCCCCCCCCCCCCTTATCCCCCCTACTGACTCTCCTGGGGGCGTTGTGGGGCCACTATTTGGAAGGCTTTCCCGGTGGTCCCTCCTTTGGATACATTCTGTCTTGCTGACAGCACCCCTACACACGCACCCTGTAACCATCTTTCACAGGCTGTTGGACTGCCATGGTCAAGAGTGCAGGCAGCCACAGGGACAGGATGAAAGGGTGGCCTGTGAATGCCGTCATCCTCCCTTCCGGCTGCTTTAGTCATCAGGGGGCCTGCCTATCCTACATAGAAATACAGTTGTGATACATATAGAACAGACAAAAAACAGCACTATTTCTGAAGCAAAAAAGTTATATGCCCACTGGTTTGAGGGTATGAAATGTCAACATGACATCAAATAATGCAAAGGTGTCACTTTGGGCTCATAGCAGCCTTGGTGGGAAATGGAAAGAATCACATTTCTAGCAAGAGTTGCCAAAAGTTTCACTTCTCAAGCCAGATTGCCTTACAGAAAAAAAAAAGAGATCAGCGACAAAGAAATCCTTCAAAACACTAATCACACCCAACAGAGGAAAGTATGGGGAGAAGGCAGCGGAGGCTGTTGTCAAGTCTCAACAGAGCACCTTTAAAACTCCCTGGGATTTCACCTCCAATCCAAGTAAATAGAGACATATAGATCCTCTTAGCTCAGATGTTTTTTTTTGTTACTAAAAGACACATGATACCTTTCCAAACTCACTTTTGCAGTCAATGTCAAAGACCAAATCTATACCTTTGAAACAATTTCAAAATAAGCAATAATTAATAATCTCTGCTATGATGCAAGATGAATATATTTATTCTATCTCTGCATTATCTCAAAGCCAACCACAACCTCTCCATGGTAAGAGGGTCAAAAAGAGGTCAACTCTGTTCAAGTCTCTGGCAATTGAGAAAATATACTTGTTATTTAGTGGCTTATTTGTGTGGTCTCTGATGGTTGGAGCATGGTTTTAGAAATGTTTATGGTCATAAGCACATCCTTAAAACTTTGGTGCTGGGCTAATAAAGAAGGCCTGCACACTGTTTATGTTCCCAATTCACCACTTTATTGACAACGTTTAGATCTGAAACTGATCTTGGTCAGCATGGTTTTAACCTGAGCTCAGGGTTAGCTTCCCCCTCACAATTACACAGGCCACTGGTGTTTGTCCACAGACCAGACAAGGACCTCACCAAAGCCACACAACAACCACAGAGCTCCACATTACAGACAGAGAAATATACATGGAGTGTGCCAAGCAGTGCAAAGGCAGACCAAAAAAGAGATTCAAATTAAAGCGACTCTAAAACCAAGGCGTGTATATGTGGTATGTGTGTGGGTGGATCAGACACTCTGGCTGGCATGGAGCCATGAGAGGGAGGGAAAGCTACCATGCCAAGAACAGCAAGAACAGTAAGGATTGACAGACAGGACAACGGCAGATAAGTAAGATAGAGATTTGGGGAAAAAGGTTACTACGTCCTTCCTTTGAAGATCTCTGGGTGATGAGTTGGAGGGCGTTGAAGGTAGCAAGTGTAAAAAGTATCTGATGTAGTCTCTGCAAGGGCCTTGCTTCAAGGTGGCATAGCCTTAGTTCAGGTGCACCATGAATCCCAAGGTGATCTTCAAAAGGAGGACAACTTCACTTCTTCAATACCTTTTGGCAGTGTTTATTTAGCCGGCTAATCGATATCCTGCCGGTAGATCATTTGTTGAGGTAGAGAAGCCAAACAGGGCACCAACCCAACCACCTGCTACCATTGACTCCCTCAGAAGTAAAGCAAACTCAGTAATGCTTTTGCTTTTTAGCCCCCTGGTCCCATGACAACAGAGTTGTGGGAAAGGTGCAGGTAATGGGAAACTATTTTCTCAGCTGGCTGTTTCTTATTGACTAGAGAGGAGGTGAAGGTGGTGAGAATTGAGGAAGATGGCTGAGGTTCCCTGGCTGCCATGCTGGAAAGGAACAAGGGAACTTTGTATACACAGACGGGCAGAGTGTTCTACCATGGGAGTGCAGAGAAGGTCAAGCATTTACCACATGGGGACAAGGGGAGACTGATTCACTATAGCTAGAGTACAAACAACCAGCCTGCAAGGCAAACATGTCAGAGACAGAGGGGGAGAGAAGTGATTGATATGGGTATGGGAGTTGTTGTTGTTAGCTTTCATTAAACGTATTGTTATTTTGCTATTCTAATGTATGCTTTGTATGCCAATTTACAACATTGAATTGAACCGAGAGAGATTGACAGAGAATGTGATGATGAGAGTTGGAGAGGATTATGGAAAAAGAGGATGAAAATTAGGAAGATGAGTAAGTGATTAGAAGTAAAAGAGAGTGAGAGTTGTGTATGAGGGAGAGAGAGAAAGAGACAGACAGAGCAGGGGGGGGGGGGGCCAATGGTAAACATTCTACCATCTAGCAGTCATCCTGTTTGGGAGCGGGAACCAGTGACTGGCTCCTTTCACCTCTGCTGACCATGAACAAAAGTATAATTCAGCTTAAGATGGATAGAGGGCACCAATGGCGAGTGAGCTAGCTGGACCAGTGGACTGAAAGGGCACTAGTCCCCCTATCCCCTCCCTCCCCTAAACTTGTGCTTGTTCACACTATGAAAGGACTTCAATTGAGATGAGATGTGAGAAGTGACCCCCTCCTATCCCAAACCCTCATGTCCCCGCACACATGAGAGTGACACAGTCACCAAGCCCTCAAGAGGCTGAGATGTTCTTTCATCACTCGTATCCAGCAGAGATGCAGCAGGCATCCACTGTCAGAGGGGAAATTGGTGTACAGGGTGAGGGGGGTTCCAGAACTTATTTCTCTCTCACCTCACCTGTTCTCCTCAGGCAGGAGAGTCTCCATTTCAGCTGCCAATAAAAAAACGTCATGTACACACCAACATGCTGCAGGCAGCTCCACCCCCCAGCCTGCCTCTCCAACCTTCCCCTGGGCTGCTGGCTGGTGCCAACCCAACACACTGATTTATGGACTGATAAAACAAAGGGCACAGGCCACTTCCCATCTGTGTCAAATTCCATAAGATTATGCAAATCAACAGATGCATAAATTTATTGTAGGATATTGCCAACGAAAGTGGTAATGTACAGTACTGAATATTATTTTGTGACCAAGTATATTGGTTACTAATTTTGACGAATGACGAAGTAATGCTCTCTAAATAACTACAAATGCAGGACAAGAGCAGGTCTAGTCATACCTCTGTCTGAAACTATTCCAATTTTAAAAGGACATTCCAGAATTCCAAGGCCAGAAATCCAACAAAAGACCTGACTTTCAAAAGATGAAGTTAATGTTTGTGGTCCTATTTATTTTAGTTATTTTCATACAGAACTGCTGCCCTCCATTCTCCTCTCTGCTTCTATGTCCAACAGTTTCAGTACATTCATGGGGTGGCAGATTGTACTGGATGGAATCACAGCAGGAGGAAAATCCCAAACAAAGCCAACCTTCTAGGAAACCATTCTCCCACCTGTGGGGACAGCAGGGCCTGCAATGTTCCTCCTGTAAGACTGCTGGACCTGTCTGCTTCTGTCATTATCTCTGTGTGTGTGTGTGTGTGTGTGTGTGTGTCAGTCAATTTCCCTGTCCATGAATCTCTCCCTTCAGTAATTTTCCATATCTCAATTTATCAAGCTCCTCACTACTTGCCTGTCTTGTTGATCCCTGTCTGTTTCTGCTGTTTGAGCAAAAAAGCTTATAATTGCCACTAAACGTCACAGCAGATGATGTGTACCCCAAAGAATAGACTACCGGTAGTGTGTCAGCAAATAAGCAACTTAATGTAAAGTGTTACCAAAATATGTTTCTAGAAGAGTACTAAGGATGTAATTCCACTTTTGATGAGTGATAACTGAGATTAAATTGACATTATGGAGGTGAATATTTTGTTTAGTTCTTTAAAAACAAACATTAGCTCACTTCCGGTAAGGAGCATTACCAGCTCAGCACAGCCTCCCTGTGCATTAGCTCTGACAAAAGAGTCTTTCTACAGCTGTGATGTGTCGCACTAATCCATCATGACCCCTGCCCTCTGCTCACCAAAACACAGAAGGAATGGAAAGAAGGGGAGTTTAAGAGACGGAGAAGAGACATTGAATGGAGAGAGGGAGAGAGAGAAAAATACAGAGTGAGAGAAATAGAAAGAGAGAGACAGCTGCACTAAGGGTCAATTCCACAGCAACAGACCAATAAAACATTACTTGAAAATGTATTTCAAACAGAACCCAATGATTGACCACTTAACAATTTCCACTGAACATTTTACAAAAGCACATTTACTTGAAGAACAGTGCAGATGCAGTTTGGTAACATAATTATGTTTTGTACTGTTTGTGCCATCATTCTTTTACCAAACTTTGCATCTGCACTGTTCTACAAGTAAATGTGTTTTTGTAAAATGTTCTGTGGAAATTGCTAAGTAGTCCCTATGCATGAAGTTGTATCATTTGCTTAACTTTGAAATCACTGGTTTTTGTTTGACATACATTTTAAAGTGAAAATTCACTCTGTTAGTGTGGAATTGCCCTAACGCAACCCGTCAAATACTCGGAGGGCTTGAACTGAATATATCACATAGTTATGAGCTAAAAAGCTGTCACAAAGCATTTAGTTAACCTTGCTCAGTGTAGGCGCACAAGAAGCCTCCTCGCCCACACTTCCAATCGTAATAAGTAGACTTGGCAATTGTAATACAATATTTGGGGATACGTTGGTAACTTACATGCAAGTCTGAAAAGAACATGGTGTTTGATAACAGCATACATTACACTGTGTCTTAGTTGACACATTGGTAAATACCACTGTTTCTCTTCAGTTTACCAGACACAAAACATCCCTACATTGGCGGTTTATTGGGTCAACTAGAGCTTGCGGATTTCTACAATTCTGCCGGATATTAATGCACTCAAGAAGTTAAAAAAATTGACTTACAGTCCATGTGGTGTAATGTTCAGGTACCTAGGTGGAAATAAAGGTAAAAACCAATCCCTCAGCTTGTGTTAAGTAAATAAAGGTGATGGTGATATTGTATATATTTCAATTTCTCATTCAGTCTTGGATATGAAACTGTTCTGTATCAATACCCACCAGGCCCAGACGTCAGTTCAACGTCTATTTCAAGTTGGTTCAACGTTGATTCAACCAGTGTGTGCCCAGAGGGTAGTCTTCTCAAGGTCAGATCCTTCCTTCTTTTCTACATTAGGAAGCACATTTCCTTGGTCCACCTTCAATGAATAACACATAGCCCATTTGACGCCCTTGGGCGGCTGCTCAGTTTATCATTAACTAAGACATTGTGAAACCTTTAAGGCTAGTTAACCAGAAATGTATTAACTATGTAGTCCCAGTCTCTCCTCAGTTAGTAATGCTCTTCCTCTCTAGTAAGGTAGGGCAGAGCAACTTCCTTTTCTTGGTACAGAGACAAAGACAGATATGATGGCGGAATCACAGGGAATACAGAAAAGAAACCATGACCATTCCTTCAAATCAACTATAGGCTAACTAAAACATCCATGTCATAGGGCTTTTGGTTTAGTTGTTATTTTGTGGTGTTGATCACAACAGCTTTTTCCTTTCGGCGGTTCCTGGCCAAGATCCAGAAAATGTTTTTCTTAGTTAAAAATATACAGTCTACAAACAATTTCACATTGCACATTTTCCCCATGTTGATAAGTTGATTGGGCCACAATTTTGCAACTTAGGAAACTTTGGAAGTATAGTAAATAAGACTTAATTTTTACAGTAAAGTGTTACCCAACTGACTAATTCTGGGGTAAATTCTGGGGTATCCCTGTAAGATGAATTTGAAAGGTTTTCCTGCATCACTTTGTAAAGGACATGTTATGCATATGTAAAGGATATGTCATGCAGATATCAGAATACCAACCACAACAACTGTCTCTGAGATGATGGGTAAGTGTGTCCACAGTGTTTTCTTTTAGGGGTAGGCATACACCTAAAGTGACCTGGGACTTTCTCTGCCATGATGTGAGTTGGTAAGTGGAGCAGCATTCAGGATAAAAACAGTCTCAGGCAGGTACAATCACCTTCCTGCCTGGGTATTTCTGGGACCTCTGTATGTCTGATCGCCAATATTATAAAGATCAAATTAAAGGTATACACCAAAGCATTATATGAGGTTCCCTCTGTCAATGCCTGTTCGGATCAAACCTCCACCTTCTCACAACCACAGGCACAAGACGTCTTCATAGTTGTATTCCATCACATCTCACCAAGGAGTCAGTCCAGACTACAGAGCCAAGTCAGGCCGAAGAATCAGCAAATGAAGACAAATCCACCTTCTTGCTTTACACCGATGATGGACTACTATTCCACATGTCCCTGAATATGAGTGTAAACGATCATGGCCGTGGTCTAAGAAAGTGAAGGTTCAGGTCCCAGGCCAAGGAATATGCTATAGCTTGTATGCTTTCCAGTAGAGTAAAAACTAGGGTATATGAGGTATCATTTTAAGGAAATTTCAGCAAGTGAATGAGTTTGGACCAGCATCAACAATTTTGGCAACCATTGCATTAAAAAAAAAAATAGCCTAGCCAATACTTCTTGTTACCTGTATAAATGACACCTGTCCACAGAAGCAATCAATCAATCAGATTCCAAACTCTCCACCATGGCCAAGACCAAAGAGCTCTCCAAGGATGTCAGGGACAAGATTGTAGACCTACACAAGGCTGGAATGGGCTACAAGACCATCGCCAAGCAGCTTGGTGAGAAGGTGACAATAGTTGGTGCGAATATTCGCAAATAGAAGAAACACAAAATAACTGTCAATCTCCCTCGGCCTGGGGCTCCATGCAAGATCTCACCTCATGGAGTTGCAATGATCATGAGAACGGTGAGGAATCAGCCCAGAACTACACGGGAGGATCTTGTCAATGATCTCAAGGCAGCTGGGACCATAGTCACCAAGAAAACAATTGGTAACACACCATGCCGTGAAGGACTGAAATCCTGCAGCGCCCGCAAGGTCCCCCTGCTCAAGAAAGCACATATACAGGCCCGTCTGAAGTTTGCCAATGAACAACTGAATGATTCAGAGGAGAACTGGGTGAAAGTGTTGTGCTCAGATGAGACCAAAATGGAGCTCTTTGGCATCAACTCAAATCGCCGTGTTTGGAGGAGGAGGAATGCTGCCTATGACCCCAAGAACACCATCCCCACCGTCAAACATGGAGGTGGAAACATTATGCTTTGGGGGTGTTTTTCTGCTAAGGGGACAGGACAACTTCACCGTATCAAAGGGACGATGGACGGGGCCATGTACCGTCAAATCTTGGGTGAGAACCTCCTTCCCTCAGCCAGGGCATTGGAATGGGTTGTGGATGGGTATTCCAGCATGACAATGACCCAAAACACACGGCCAAGGCAACAAAGGAGTGGCTCAAGAAGAAGCACATTAAGGTCCTGGAGTGGCCTAACCAGTCTCCAGACCTTAATCCCATAGAAAATCTGTGGAGGGAGCTGAAGGTTCGAGTTGCCAAACGTCAGCCTCGAAACCTGGTGACCAACTACAAGAAACGTCTGACCTCTGTGATTGCCAACTCTGTATCAACCTTTTGTTTTATGGCCTATTTTTCCTCTGGCTGTTCTTCATTCTTTGTGTTTGCCCACTTATACCAACCACAATAATGTGTTTGTTATTAGTTTAATAACTGATCCACAACCAGAAGTTGTATAAACGCACTCTATTATTTGGCTTCATTGACAGCCATTGTGCAAAAGTTTGCTCTAGTAGTGACGTGGAGAGGTGTCCCTCTCGAGTAAGTAGTGGCCAACCTTGCCGTTACAAACACGTCCTAACCAGGGAGAGAGATTGATTGTAGGTTTAATCGTGTTTTATTACAGTTTCAATGTGTTGATACTTACAGATAGTAGGTGAAGGCGCTTAGACCAGTTGGAACAGTGGTCAGACCCTTCCCAGAGCAATCCGCGCCTCCGTCCTCGTCGCAGCTGCATGAGGACGAACAAATAGCCGGAGTGGATTGTCCTTGACCAGCGGCACCATCCCGTAGTGAACACAACCGCAAAAATATCCAGATGACAAACACACGCATGTTCTTCTTCTGTTCAGATTGAGCAAAAATGGCTTTATGTTTCTCTCTTATAAGGACATGTAGGCTAATTTTCATGTGACTGCTCCGTTGTGGTGGCTTGTCCAAGAAGCTTGAATACGTATTATTTTTTATAGGTAGTCGACCACTTCAAGAATATAAAATGTTAATGCATCAGTCCCACCAAAAATATATCATTAACTACCCCTGTCAAACCTGGGTATTTTTCTTTACTCAAACAATGCGGTTTACCTTGCACTAGAAAAGTGTCCTCCTATGCATCCCGTGTGGAGTGTTGGTCCCATAAAAAATAAGTAGCACCAGTCCACACAGACGACAAAAATCGGCACCTTTTGCTTTTTTCCGTTTTCGTTGTCCCATTAAATCAGCAAACCAGGCGGATCCGTGCGTGGTCAAAATACGAAGCTTCAATACAATTCTCCAACCGGAATGGGAAACATTTGGTGCCTTGTTTTTGCTATCGTTTCCCTCTCCTGATTTGTTTCCTGTAGAAAAACAGTCAGCTTTCAGCCATTCCTCACGTTTCCTTCCTTTGCTCCCTGCCACCAGCAGCCCGCTTTTTCTTGCTCACTCGGTAAGCACCCTGCCGGACAACCTGCCACACGATCTGCTGAATACAGTATGTTAATACTGACCTACATATTAATGATTTGACAACGTCACACTTTTGCTTTAGTAGGCAACATACTGCAATTAATAACTTTGTAATTGTGTAACAATTAATTGAAATCATTAATTCATTGTCACCTCAGTCCTTTCTTTGAGTGTGGTACCATCTCACGATAGTCCTTTGATAGTAATTGGTCAATATCTGATATAATGGTAGGCATACCATTGATATTTTAGTGAATTCCAACTGACCGAAATGTAGTTATTATTAGGTATGCCTAATTGTCCGGGCATTATCATTTTACCATATGATTTCTACCAATAATACTGTAGGCCTAAAATAAAGTGTAACGAACAGTTTCTTCAACAACTACATGCCAGATGAAACTTGTTAGGTAGCCTTTTCAGGTCAAATGTTATTTGTTTCATAACATAATACTTTTCTTTGTGTGGGTCCTGTGATTTGATTGTGGTCCTCTGTAGCTCAGCTGGTAGAGCACGGCGCTTGTAACGCCAAGGTAGTGGGTTCGATCCCCGGGACCACCCATACACAAAAATGTATGCACGCATGACTGTAAGTCGCTTTGGATAAAAGCGTCTGCTAAATGGCATATTATTATTATTTGTTGAGTCGGAACTTAGGCCATGCACCCTTTTTTGCTTGACTCCTGCCTCCAACAAGGGGCAATGTGAAAGTGTGACAACAATCCACCCAGTAGAGTAGATACTTCTCTCTCGAGGGTTTAAGAATCGCTGTGCTAAATAGGACTCTATCTTCACCAACCGGGTGGCGGGTAAGGTACTTTGTTACTTGTCCACTTCCAACTTGTCCACTGCTCCCTCCTCCCAGTGTTGCTCTTCTCTGTGACTTGTGGCAGAGCCTCTGCCGCAGAGGTGACCAGTGTGAGCTCTCAAGAGGCATGCAGACCTACAGCGGGTGCCATTCAGCCTGTTCAACGTAAAAAATATATGGATAGTGTATGATATCGAAGTGGATAATGTATGATATCATTAAGAATCTTTGTAGAACCAGCCATCTCTCCAAACTGAGCAGCCAGAGAAGAAGGAAACTTCTTAAGGATGCCACCATAGGCAATACCAGCTTTGAAAGAGACAAAGGGCTACACATCATGCTTTGAGCATAATGGAATCAGGTCTGTGTTCTGTTTCTAACCTGAGAGAAATACTGATCCGCTCATGACGCTTGTTGTTTGGTTCCACAGTGACATCAGCATGAATTTTATAATGGCGCCGGAGGGGATGGCTGCCATTTTACGGGCTCCTAACCAACTGTGCTATGTTGTGTGTTTTTTCGCATTGTTTGTTACTTATTTTGTACATACAGTGAAGGAAAAAAGTATTTGATCCCCTGCTGATTTTGTACGTTTGCCCACTGACAAAGACATGATCAGTCTATAATTTTAATGGTAGGTTTATTTGAACAGTGAGAGACAGAATAACAACAAAACAATCTAGAAAAACGCATGTCAAAAATGTTATAAATGGATTTGCATTTTAATGAGGGAAATAAGTATTTGACCCCTCTGCAAAACATTACTTAGTACTTGGTGGCAAAACCCTTGTTGGCAATCACAGAGGTCAGACATTTCTTGTAGTTGGCCACCAGGTTTGCACACATCTCAGGAGGGATTTTGTTCCACTCCTCTTTGCAGATCTTCTCCAAGTCATTAAGGTTTCGAGGCTGACGTTTGGCAACTCAAACCTTCAGCTCCCTCCACAGATTTTCTATGGGATTAAGGTCTGGAGACTGGTTAGGCCACTCCAGGACCTTAATGTGCTTCTTCTTGAGCCACTCCTTTGTTGCTTTGGCCGTGTGTTTTGGGTCATTGTCATGCTGGAATACCCATCCACGACCCATTTTCAATGCCCTGGCTGAGGGAAGGAGGTTCTCACCCAAGATTTGACTGTACATGGCCCCGTCCATCGTCCCTTTGATGCGGTGAATTGTCCTGTCCCCTTAGCAGAAAAACACCCCCAAAGCATAATGTTTCCACCTCCATGTTTGACGGTGGGGATGGTGTTCTTGGGGTCATAGGCAGCATTCCTCCTCCTCCAAACACAGCGAGTTGAGTTGATGCCAAAGAGCTCCATTTTGGTCTCATCTGACCACAACACTTTCACCCAGTTCTCCTCTGAAGCATTCAGATGTTCATTGGCAAACTTCAGATGGCCCTGTATATGTGCTTTCTTGAGCAGGGGGACCTTGCGGGCGCTGCAGGATTTCAGTCCTTCACGGCGTAGTGCAGGGTTCTTCAATTCCGGTCCTGGAGGGCCGAAACACTTCTGTTTTTTATTTCTACCTGGTAGTTAATTGCACTCACCTGGTGTCCCAGGTCTGAATTAGCCCCTGATTAGAAGGAGAGGATGAAAAACAGAGGTGTTTCGGCCCTCCAGGACCGGAATTTAAGAACCCTGGCGTAGTGTCTTACCCAATTGTTTTCTTGGTGACTATGGTCCCAGCTGCCTTGAGATCATTGACAAGATCCTCCCGTGTAGTTCTGGGCTGATTCCTCACCGTTCTCATGATCATTGCAACTCCACGAGGTGAGATCTTGCATGGAGCCCCAGGCCGAGGGAGATTGACAGTTCTTTTGTGTTTCTTCCATTTGCGAATAATCGCACCAACTGTTGTCACCTTCTCACCAAGCTGCTTGGCGATGGTCTTGTAGCCCATTCCAGCCTTGTGTAAGTCTACAATCTTGTCCCTGACATCCTTGGAGAGCTCTTTGGTCTTGGCCATGGTGGAAAGTTTGGAATCTGATTGATTGATTGCTTCTGTGGACAGGTGTCTCAAATACTTTTTTCCCCTCACTGTAATATTGCTGCTACCATCTCTTATGACCGAAAAGAGCTTCCGGAAATCAGAACAGCGATTACTCACCTCGAACTGGACAAAGATGTTTTATTTAATGAGTCCGACATGAAGGATATACTCCTTCTCAGAGACCAGGCCCAAATCCCCGTCATTCGCGTGAAGAAAAGACGGAAATACAGGGGGCGGAGATTGGGGTGCCTTGTGAGAATTTGTTGGCGAGTGGGTAACCTGCCTCTACCATCCGTTCTATTGGCCAACGTGCAATCACTGGAGAATAAACTGGATGATCTCCATTCGAGACTATCCTACCAACGGGACATTAAAAACTGTAATATCTTATGTTTCACTGAGTCGTGGCTGAACGACAACAAGAATAATATACAATTGGCTGGGTTTTCCGTGCATCGGCAGGACAGAACAGCTACGTCTGGTAAGATGAGGGGTGGGGGTGTGTGTCTATTTGTCAATAACAGCTGGTGCGTGATGTCTAATATTAAGGAAGTCTCGAGGTATTGCTTGCCTGAGATAGAGTACCTCATGATAAGCTGTAGACCACACTATCTACCAAGAGAGTTTTCATCTATATTTTTCGTAGCCGTCTATTTACCACCACAAACCAATGCTGGCACTAAGACCGCACTCAATGAGCTGTATAAGGCCATAAGCAAACAAGAAAATGCTCATCCAGAAGCGGCGCTCCTAGTGGTCGGGGACTTTAATGCAGGCGCATTTCTACCAGCATGTCATGTGCAACCAGAGGAATAAAAACTCTAGACCACCTTTACTCCACACACAGAGACGCATACAAAACTCTCCCTCGCCCTCCATTTGGCAAATCTGACCATAATTCTATCCTCCTGATTCCTGCTTACAAGCAAAAACTAAAGCAGGATGTACCAGTGACTTGCTCAATACGGAAGTGGTCAGATGACGCGGATGCTACGCTACAGGACTGTTTTGCTAGCACTGACTGGAATATGTTCCGGGATTCATCCAATGGCATTGAGGAGTATACCACCTCAGTCATCGGCTTCATCAATAAGTTTATCGACGACGTCATCCCCACAGTGACCGTACGTACATATCCCAACCAGAAGCCATGGATTACAGGCAACATCCACACCGAGCTAAAGTTTAGAGCTTCCGCTTTCAAGAAGCGGGACACTATTCCGGACGCTTATAAGAACTCATGCTATGCCCTCAGACAAACCATCAAACAGGCAAAGCGTCAATACAGGACTAAGATTGAATCCTACTACACCGGCTCTGACGCTTGTCGGATGTGGCAGGGCTTGCAAACTATTACGGACTACAAAGGGAAACCCAGCCGTGAGCTGCCCAGTGATGCGAGCCTACCAGACGAGCTAAATGCCTTTTATGCTCACTTCGAGGCAAGCAACACTGAAGCATGCATGAGAGCACCAGCTGTTCCGGACAACTGTGTGATCACGCTCGACATAGCCGATGTGAGCAAGACTTTTAAACAGGTCAACATTCACAAGGCCTTGGGGCCAGACGGATTACCAGGACATGTACTCAAGAGCATGCGCGGACCAACTGGCAAGTGTCTTCACTGACATTTTCAACCTCTCCCTGACCAAGTCTGTAATAC